CGCCAACCTCCTCCCCCTTCCTGGCCCTCCTCCTCCTCTCCCCTTCCTGGCCCTCCCTTTCCTCCCCTCCCCTTCCTGGCACCTCCCCTCCTCCTCCTCCTCCCCCCCTTCCTGGCCTCCCCTCCTCTCCTTCCCCTTCTCGGCCTCCCCTCCTCCTCCCCTTCCTGGCCCCCCTCCTTCTCCTTCCTGGCCCTCCCTTCTCCTTCCCCTTCCTGGCCCCCTCCCTCCTCCTCTTCCCTTCCTGAGCCCCTCCCTTCTCCTTCCCTTCCTGGCCCCTCCCCTTCTCCTTCCCTTCCTGGCCCCTCCCCTCCCCCTTCCTGTTCCCTTTCTCTATACCTTCTGTTACCCCTCTCTCCCCCTTCTGGCCTCCCTCCTCACTTTCTTTCCTCTTTCTTCTATCACTTCCTTACCTCCCCTCTTTTCCCCTTTCCTCCTTTTCTCTCTTCCACCCCTTCCTTCTTTTCTCCCCTTCTCCCCCTCTCCACCCTTCTCTTTCTCTCTCCTCCCTTACCTCCTTTGCTCACACACACACACACACACACAGGTTAGGTTAGGTCAGGTTAGGTCAGGTTAGGTCAGGTTAGGTTAGGTTAGGTTAGGTTAGGTTAGGTCAGGTCAGAGAGAACACTGTCTGCTGTATATCGTCTCTACAATACGATCCATACAATACAATAATTAAAACTTAAGTCAAGAGGTGAACAAGTTAATTATCCAGGTGGGTGTGTAACTGATGTGTGTTGGGTGACAGATCAGATACTACAAAGACACGTAAGTGATAAGGTGTTGTGGGGAAGACATCGTCAGGGGAAGATCTCGTGGTAACAGAACTAATTTTGGAAACATTAGGAATTGAATACCACCTATAGTTTTTTCCACTTGACTGGGAAAAAGTATATTGTCGAACCTTTAGAACTTATATTTGTCCACAGAAGGTATTAAACATGCGGAAATAGTGCGCTTGGTGATCTAGGGGAACAGCTGGGTTTAAATGAAGGTATCCATCGGTTAATACACTTATTTGATTCACAGTTTTAGTAATCTTATCTAAACATTCACCGTTGACGTGAGATGAGAGCCACTGGACACTATACAGGGTAGTAGGGAAAAGATCAAGTCAGTACTCACATCTGTTCTGGGTTAATACTGAGGTCTAAAGAGGCGTTAGTATGGGAGCTATTAACCTCACCCCCCCCCCCAGGACGTGCACCCTCGTAAGTCCATTAACCCGTCAAAAGTCCCTGTAAGCAACTTTATAGTACAGTTGGTTGCCTCTGGACAGTTAGTGGAAGTTTACACGTCTGGGATACATTCATTCCAGTTCATGTTTGTGGTATGATGGGTGTTGTGTTGTAGTTATATTGTGATGTAACCATTCACAGACAGGTAATTAACGGACACACACACACACACACACACACACACACACACACACACACACACACACACACATATTCACAGAAGCATTTAATATATACAGTACTCAAATGGGGTTTTAAATTCCCTCTCCCTCTCTCTCTCTCTCTCTCTCTCTCTCTCTCTCTCTCTCTCTCTCTCTCCACCCTTTCTTTCATCTTTGCCTCTACTTCACCTCCCATTTCTTCCTCTCCCTCTCTCTTCCCCTCCTCCCTCTTCCTCTCCCCTCCCCTGTTTCTCCCCCTCTCCCCCATGGACTTGGGGTGAGGGAAAATCAGTAATCTGCTTTAGTCGTGACATTCAGGTTAGTTCTGGAGCTAACCTGAGTCTCTCTCTCTCTCTCTCTCTCTCTCTCTCCTCTCTCTCTCTCTCTCTCTCTCTCTCCTTCCAGATTTAAGGGGCGATTAATTCCGTTCTTTTTTTTTTCAGATACGTTGACTTGCGATAACCGTTCAGCATATGTTTACACTGTTGCATTAACCGGCGTTGAACACCTGCCTACCTGCATTGAGGGCGTTAACCTGGTACAAGGGTGTGTGAAGTAGTGAGCGTGTGTGTGTGTGTGTGTGTGTGTGTGTGTGTGTGTGTGTGTGTGTGTGTGTGTGTGTGTGTGTGTGTGTGTGTGTGTGTATAAATTTATCGTCCTAAAAAAAAGATCTTGGTCAATTATTTTCCCCCAGACCACACTTGGGCAACCCGCGGCCCACTGTTCTGTTATTGGTGGATATGAAGTCCTTGAGAAATGTTACGAATTTGCCAGTAAACTTGATGACTTGGCCTAGAAGTTCCAATTCAGTTTCATTGACTTGATAACTGAAGAAGCCATCCTGAACATCATCTCTACACCGTTGAGATGTTGAGCCTCCCTAGCCCATCTACAGGTGGGACTGGTCAAACATCAAGAAGACCGGAATCAGAAATTAAATTCCAAGACGCTCCAGTTCATAAGTTATACAGCAATTATTTCCCAAGAGGCAAATCTCCAGGTCTCACAGCATCTGCACTAAAGAAGGTGAAATTGTTTGTCAGACATATTTCTATGAACAGATCTTCTTACGCTTGAAGCTTACAAAGACAAGTCACACACCTAGACTCACAGACGAGCATCTGGGTGTACTACCTACCTCAGGGTCCCAACCTCTGACCTCCACTACCTGTGACTGGTGGTACTGTCTCCTGTTGCCGACTGTCTGAAAAGTATAAGTGGGTCCCATAGACATATTGATTGAGACTATGACTGCTGGTAATGTGCACTAAGATGAATTATTAACTAAAACTCTTGAGTGTTATTATACCCACTTGTACGTCACACTGGCCTCTTGAGTAAGAAAACTGCTGTAATTGTACCTTAAAAAAAATAATTGACGTTTTTACAGATTAGCTTCACTCTCCCTTTTTTTAACTGCCAAGAAACATTAAAATTTTACTTTGATAATTTATTTGTGTCCGTCTCATAAATGGGGGTGACAGTGTGATGGTAAACTGAGATGTAAGGTACGCAATAATTTCTAGGATGGGTTAAGACGATCGAGTTAATGATAGCAATAACTACAAAATCATTCCTCCCTTATTTTTTTTACCATGACAAACAACCTAACGATATAATGATGTGCACGTGAAATGCCGTTCATCCTGGGAGAAAAAAAAACCAGTGGGACATTTTCTCATTTTCCAGGATGAACGACACAAGGAACCAACTCAAACCCGCGAAGATGATGTGAATTCCACCTATGAGTTTGTAAACAGGGATTAATACCAATCTCTCTCTCTCTCTCTCTCTCTCTCTCTCTCTCTCTCTCTCTCTCTCTCTCACAGGACCCCCGCTATAACGACGAGGTGGACAGGATCACAGGATACCACACGGGGTCTCTGCTGTGCATGCCCGTCAAGAACTCCTACGACGAGATTATTGCCGTGGCTCAGGTAGTCAACAAGAGCGTTGACGATGGCTCCTATGGGTGTTTCACTGCTAAAGACGAGAAGGTGAGAGGGGGAAGAGAGAGAGAGGGAAGAAAGAGGTAATGTGAGAGGTACGGGAAGTGTAAGGAGAGTGGGGGTGGGGGGAAGAATGTGAGAGGGTAAAGATTAAATGAGAAGAATAAAGTGTGGAAATGATAGACGGGGAAGGAAGGAGGGAGGTAGAGGGAAGATGATAAAGAAAGGTGAGAGAGAGGAAGATAGTGATAAGAAAGATAAATAGAGCAAAAAGAGAGGAGGGAAAAGGGGGGAGGGGGGAGGAGATGTGTGTGTGTGAAAGAGAACTAACACACGTTGTCTCCCTGGCAGATGTTTGAGACATACCTTCAATTCGTCGGTATCGCTATCACCAACGCTCAGCTGATGGAAGCCTCACAACAGGAATACGAGAGAAACAGGGTAAGCTATTCTTTGGGTTAGTTTTCACTCCTTTACATTCTGAATGAGTACTAGAGAAAGGTGATTTATTATATCTCTCTCTCACTCTCTCTCTCTCTCTCTGCCACTAACCCTCCTCCTCCACCTCGCCCTCAGAGCCTGCTGGAGGTGGTACACGACCTATTCGAGGAGCAGACCTCGCTGGAGAACGTCGTCCTCAAGACACTACAGCGAGCACAACGTCTTCTCAAGTGTGAACGAGCCGCTGTCATGCTCCTAGAGGATGGTACTGAGGTGAGGTAGCTCTCTCTCTCTCTCTCTCTCTCTCTCTCATTTCAGCCTATTAACTAACTAATACCAACTAATCCACAGGTGTATTGTGGCAAGATTGACTTCGTTATAAATTTACATATCATATTAACAGCCCGATGTTTGTCCATACTGACCTGACTGATAGTGTTCCCCCCCTCCCATCGTGTTTTTTTTTTAAGTTCGGGTTATTGTAATGTATTAGTGTAGGAGGAATGTGATTAGTTTTTACTAATTGTCTCTACTCATGCCTGGACTTGAGGGATTAACTTAATTTGATCTTACTTATCTGAAGCCTAACGTGCCCTTAACCTAACATAACTCAACCTGGCCTAACCTGACCTGACCTAACCTAACTTAACTTGACCTAACCGAACCTGCTCCTTACGTGACCTAATATATTTTAATCAAGCCAATTTATTATTTTAATCGTTACAGTCCAGGTCATATGTAATTCGTTATATTTAATTCACTTACGTAGGAATGCTTATGTATCCAAACACCTTAATAAATAGTATCTAAAACCAAAGTCGATTTAACACCTATTAGTTGATGGTAAGGTTATCCAGGTTCACGATATTATTGGAACCATCTGTTTACGGTCATATTATGAACCCGATCACGTATTCCTTTTAAAACAAGGAGGGACGGACGACCCTCTCTGCCCTGCTCAGCTGGGGGGAGGGAGGGTTCAGTCGGTGAGACACGATTGGACAACCATTGGGCACACTTGAATATAATCCTCTTGGCTTAATCTGTGATACCATGGCTTTCCTAGGTAATAATAATATTGTTGATGTGTTTATTTTTTCCATGTACTTCCTATGTCTTACGTTCGCCTCACAACTTAATTTAGAGAATCGGAAGAAGAGGCGGCCCCTCCTCTTCCCCTACCACCTCCCCCTCCCCCCCTGCTGCACGTACAAGTACCACCAGCATGACCCCCTACCCACCCTTCCCTAGCACAGAGACAACGCCCTCTCGCTCCCTCACCACCACCCCAGCATGGCGGAGGATGCCACACACCCCGGTACCATAGAAACAGCGCCAGCATGAGCATTCAACAGAGTTTGGTGTTCCCCTCCCGGCAAATAACCTCATGGAAGGTACGCCAGACAAACTCTCCCTCTCCCTTTGCCTGTAGTGGCGCTGTTTTTATGGTGCAAGTAAGTTTTGTCTCACGGTAGAAAGACACAGTTAGTTCCTCAGTGACTGCCTCCGTGTTTTCTGGTTGAGGGAGGAAGGAAAGTACTGTAGATGTAGTGATGATAGTGTAGCAGCACCTCCTCACCACGATCTTAAGGACCTCATCACTATTGTCAACATTTAGTGATGACTGCAACAGATTCTCCTCACACACACAGATTGCATTGTGATGAATGTGGGATTCTTTTTCCTTGCAGCAAATGTAGTTGTAAGACTGTCAACATATTTGGTCGTGGTATTTCTTAGCACGCTTGTTGCTGGTAAGTTACTGCGGACGACAGCATAAGATATTTTCACTCTGAGACACCACTAACTTACATCACTGGTAAGTGAATATGGCGCTTGTGACCTGTGATGCCTAACATAGTTTCCCAGCCTCACCCTGGGTTGAACTACTAAGTCACGTTAGAGCACCAGTGAGCGTTCTTCATCTGCCTAAAAGACAATATTAATCTGGTATATTTTCGTTGACTGATGAAGACCTGACGAGAGATTTTTATCATTGGTCGAATACACTTAACCAGGAGGTGTTGACGAGAGACGGAGGCAGCACTGTGAGGGAAGAGGCAGGTGTCGTCGATGGTGGCAGGGAAAAAGATTTAGAAGTTTCTTATAGGTGTCAAGTGGGGAAAGTCCTAATAGCCGCCATGTAGAGGATAACACAAGACCTGGTTACCATGACAAGGAAGTAGTAGTGTGTGAGTCACCGCCGTGCTGGGTTTGATGGCTGACACACACACACACACACACACACACACACACACACACACACACACACACACACACACAGAAATCTCACGAATAAAAATAGTTAAGGTACTGAGAAGGGGGCGAGGTTAACACAAGACCTAGGAGCCATGAGACCACGGGGTGAAGGAGGCGGTGGTAGAGTGTGTGGAGAGGCAAAGCTGTATGTGTGTGTTGAGGCCACTAGTGTATCTGGTGTATGCCTGGCAGGAGGAGGACAATAACAAAGTGGTGGTGCAGCGAGCCATGACAGGAGGTCGAGGGGGCGCCTCCCGCACCACAGTAAACAAAGTGACCTCCAGGGCGGCCCCAGTGCGTGTCATCAAGCACAGAGACTGTAGGATACCTCCGCCGCCGCCGCCTCCGCCATCTAGAGCTTCCCTGGAGTCAGACGACCTACCCTCTAGTGAGTCGGTGGCGGGAGTGCAGGAGGAGGTAGTGGTGTCACCAAGCAGGGGAGCAGTAGAGCTGTGCAGCAGAGCCCTGGGGACATCGTGTCTCTCCCCTCCTAACACGGCAGCAGCAGGCAAGGTGACAGACCAGGCCCTCACCACACACGGCCAGTACTGTACACGCGCTTACTCCTCCCTACTGTACCGTGTTATCAGCTCTGACTCAGCTTACTGTTAACGTCTTAATAATAACTTCTCTTGTGTTATGATAAGAAGCCATTAGCTTCTTTAAACCTATTAGCTTACTCTATTATCCATTACCTTCACTTATTATCCTTTATGTTCACTTATTATCCATTACCTTCACTTATTATCCTTTATGTTCACTTATTATCCATTACCTTCACTTATTATCCATTATGTTCACTTATTATCCATTATCTTCACTTATTATCCTCTATGTTCAGTTACCTTATTATCCTTTATGTTCACATACTTTATCATCCACCGCTTCACCTTCCTTTCGCTTATTACATTATTACCAACCTTTATTACTCTAATTTAACTTGTTGTATTATCCCGTCTTTATTGGCTTATTAACTTATCGCCTTTCAGCTTTTTATCGCCTCTTCTTATCGCCTCTTCTTATCGCCTCTTCGCCCAGGTATATTTCTTAATGGTCTTACCAATTTCTTTGTCATTAATCTCCATATTGAGTATTTTTTTCTTTTCAGGTTTTGCATTTTTAATCGTATTTTCTTTGTTTTTTATTTTTTATTATTTTTATTATTATTTTTATTATTATTATTATTATTATTATTATTATTAATATTATTTTGTTTTATTATTATTATTATTATTATTATTATTATTATTATTATTATTATTATTATTATTATTATTATTATTATTATTATTATTATTATTGCTGTTATTTGGTCAATCTTCTTAACTCTGCTCTGTAAACGCTCACCAATTGTAACTGAGAACGGTGACGTGTGGACACCGCTAGGCTACAGAGGTTAAAGGTTAGGTTAGGTTAAGTTAGGTTAGGTTAGTGTAGAAATTCTTTGAGGAGTTCCAGAAGTTCTTAGTGTAAACAATGAATGGAAATAAAACATTGGTATAGGTTAAGTTGGGTGGGTTGGGTTAGATTAGGTTACAGTAGGTTAGATTAGGTTAGGTTAATTTAGGTTTAGTTAAGTTGGATTGCAGTAGGTTGGTTAAGTTAAGTTAGCCTAGGTGAGGTTAGGTTAAGTTGGGTTAGGTTAGATTTGCATGTTTTATAAAATATGCTTCTTATAAATGCTTGTAGAGTCTAACCTAACCTAACCTATCCTAGGCGAACTTAACCTAACCTTAACTAAACTAACCTAGCTTAACTTACCTAACCTAAAGTAATCTAACCTGGCCTAACCTAACCTAACCTATCCTAGGCGAACTTAACCTAACCTTAACTAAACTAACCTAGCTTAACTTACCTAACCTAACGTAATCTAACCTGGCCTAACCTAACCTAACCTAACCTATCCTAGGCGAACTTAACCTAACCTTAACTAAACTAACCTAGCTTAACTTACCTAACCTAACGTAATCTAACCTGGCCTAACCTCACCTAGGCTAACCTAACCTAACCATCTCACCTGTGTTTAACTACAACTGCTGTTTTAACACTGGTGATGTTTAACGTTCTATTTCTCTTTTATCATCGTTAACTTAGTGTCTTTTTCGGGGTCTCACTTGGGCAAATATTATCATATAGTTAAGAAAATATAACCCCGGGAAGGAAGAATGACTGTCTGTCTCATTTTAAGGGATATCGTCGTTAATAAAGTCATTTTTTTAAGTTTTAGGGAACGTCCACAAAAATAAACTCATTACCATAGTGAGATACGTTCATTATAGCACCAATTAAGAGGCATAATTTGAATAAAGTCCCTTAATTAGCTCAGGTGTTATGTGAACATGTTTAATTAAGGTAATTGTGTTGTAAATGTTATACTCATTAATATTTATTTTGATTTTATATTCGCATTTTAGTTCAAGTTAATCAGTTGAATACTTTCTCGTGTTTACACTTACGAGAATCACCCATTATGGACCTTTTGAGGCTGTGGTATCTGAATTCTCAAGAAAATTATCGTACGGTAAAATAAGTTTCTTATTTACGAGAATTTGTTGTCACCTACAGTCCATAATCACCGAGAGTCCGAAATTACAGAGTACGAAATCACAAAGTCCGTAATTACAGTTCGGAATCATTGAGAGTCCGAAATTACCGAGTACGAAATCACAAAGTCCGTAATTACAGTTCGGAATCATTGAGAGTCCGAAATTACAGAGTACGAAATCACAAAGTCCGTAATTACAGTTCGGAATCATTGAGAGTCCGAACACATGTACTCATGCAGAAGTGGAGGGTGGCACAGTAGGTTGGTGTGGTGTGTTGGGTCAAGTGCATGTCGAGTTCCATGTTTACGCTTGCTTGTACAGTATGTGCTTGTGGGAACTACTACCTGTCTGTGCTTGAGTCTTGCCCTGCATGAACAAAATCCCACTCGACAAAATCCCACTTGATAATCAGTAGAAAATACCACTTGTTAAATTTCCTCGAGGTAAAAACAAAAATTGGTCAGTAATATGAAGAAAAAAATAATTCAACAAAATCCCAGTAGCTGAAACTCACTGAATTTAGGTACGTTGGGATTTTATCTGAAGTGGATATTTTGTTAATCTTTTATGGTACGTAATTAACATGAGGAGTTAACCTGATTTTTTTTTCTGAGTTAAATCATTTTTTAAGTTAAGGATTGTTAGAGAAATTGTGAATCCTTAATTAGTCTGGCTGTATATGTGACCCTCTTCTTCCTCCTCCTCCTCCTCCTCCTCCTCCTCCTCCTCCTCCCCCTAATCTTCCTAATCCTTCTCATCTCCCTACCTCTAATCCTCCCCTCACAGTGTTCCCCCCCCATGTCACTAAAGCTTGGACCGTAAACCAGTACACGTAATGAACAGCCTGGGACGATCCACCCTTTAACCACCCTCTAATCACCCTCTAACCACCCTCTAACTACCCTCTAACCACCCTCTAACCACCCTCTAACCACCCTCTAACCACCATCTAACCACCCTCTAACTACCATCTACAGTCGTTCACTCTTCTGTCTACACCGGCTCTCTGTGACATCAGTAGTCCGGGAGACATTCTTCTGCAGGATGTATCGTTCTAATGTGTCTCCCCGTCTTGGCTTCCTTACAGAAACAGAATGTTAAGTTTTCCAAGATATTTGAGTTGAATTGTCCTGTCTCCGGCCAGTCCACCAACAAGTAAGTGACTCGTTTACGTCTGTTTAACCTCTGGTAATTGAATAACTCTAAACGTATTAATATTTATAGTTATTTCTAAGTTTTGTCTGCCATTAGATCTCAGAGTATAATGAAGTAAGGATATTATACAGAATGGTGAAAAGACTTGTTTTCCTTATACTTGACACTGTCTTCCTCATACTTGACACTGTCTTCCTCATACTTGACACTGTCTTCCTCATACTTGACACTGTGGCTTCCATCATATAGTGTCAGTATAACCCGGTATATATATTAATGGCGATATAATGAGGCCCAATTATATTGACTACAGGTGAACAGGAACCTTATCATCACCCTTCATAAGTTAATAATGGTTACAGAGAAATGTACACGGGAGATAAATATGTACACGGGAGATAAATGTGTACACGGGAGATAAATGTGTACACGGGAGGTAACTATATCCATCACTCTGAGCGCCAATAACACCATATCCACGTTACCTCCTGTACCATCAATAACTCGTCTTCTGCAGCGCTAAGGAGGTTGGGTCGAGTGACATAGCCAAACACCTCCTGCACCTGGCGGAACAAGTGGCCTCTACGGGCGAGAACATGAACATAGCGGACAGCATCGAAGTGGAAAAGGGCAGCGCTGGTAACGTTCGCTCTATGCTCGCTATGCCCATACGAAACAGGAACTTCCAGATCATTGGTAGGTGTATAGTACAGTTGGTGGGTTATGGTGGGTGTAGGTGGGTCATGGTGGGTAAGTGTAGGTGGGTTATGGTGGGTGTGGGTATGGTGGGTGTGGGTGGGTTGTATGGTGGGTGTAAATGGATGCAAAATGTAGGTGGGTTATGGTGGGTGTGGGTGGGTTATGGTGGGTGTAAATGGATGCAAGACTATTATATCTGGGGTAAGAGAAGCGAAGGTTTGGTTACGTTAGGCTTGGGTTGTGTTTACTGTGTATAGGAGTCATGAAAACGTCATTGCTGGAAACTCTTCCTTCTCACGTTGCTTCTCCTCTGCTAATTAGTTGTCGTCTGGTGATTTTTATATGAGAGTTCAAATGGTTTCTGCCTTATACTGACTTAAGTTTAGGATTTCTTTTTTTTTACTGTACATCGGGTGTAATATAACATCTCCCGCCCTACAATAAGAAAATGTAATAACTTTCCTTACCATCGTCAGTGCTGCTGTTGTGCGTCTCTCTGTGTACTGCGCATGCGTCGTGGTTAAGTTTACATGTGTGTCTCTCTCTCTCTCTCTCTCTCTCTTTCTCTCTCTCTCTCTCTCTCTCTCTCTCTCTCTCTCAGCTGACTCCCCATTGATGTCTTCCTCAGGTGTGGCCAAGATCATCAACAAACTCAATGGTCAACCCTTCGATGAAAACGATGAGCAGCTATTTGAGGTCTGTTGAGACGAGTTGTGCTGTAAAGTATCAAGCTACACTGAGAAGTTATATTGTACAGTATAATTGAGAGGATGTTACTCTCTCTCTCTCTCCATGTTGTAATACAGTGTTGTGTTGTGTTGTAGGCGTTCACCATCTTCTGTGGTCTGGGGATCAACAACACCCTCATGTACAACGAGCTGGAGAAGGCCATGGCCAGGCAAAAGGTGGCCATCGAGGTGAGGCTCACAGTGATGCGTCTCAAGGCGTGTCTCTCTTGGCTTGGGGTCACCCTGAGATTAGGCTCCCTAACTCTAACTCTAACCTAACCCTAACCTAACCTAACCTAACCTAAACTAACCTAACTCTAACCTAACCTAAATTAACACTGACTTAACCTGACCTAAATTAACACTGACTTAACTTAACCTTGGTATAACACCCTAGTTTACTTTAACTATTAGACATGTTATCTACTCCAAACAATTACTGTGACCATTTCCAATATTATAAGTAGAACGATATAACTAATCAGTATTATTAATAATTGTACGTGCGTAGAGGTTTCTCAATAGCCGAGGTACAGTCCCCTTCACTGGTGCGTTTACAGGGGCTCGTCAGGTTGTGTGCAGTGTGGCAGCGCTGTGTTTGCTTACATTCGACAGAAGGAAACTCACAATAATAAACATACTAAGGAATCAAAGTAAAACAATATTTAAATAAACATCTCAATGTAATGATTTGTGGAATAATTTTATGATGAACCCCTGTAAACGCACTAGTGAAGGGGACTGTATGTACTTTAAACAGGAAACATATTACATAAGACGGCAGGTTTTATGTTCATCTGGAGGTGGTCAGGTGAGATGGCTCTAGTTATTGATCAGAGAGACAACCTAAAGATGTTTTTTACCTGGACAATAATTTGTGGAAGTGGTAAGTTGAGAATATCACCTTCACCACCACTACCACCACTTAGACCACCACTACCACCACTTAGACCACCACTACCACCACTTTCACCACCATTATCACCGGGTTCACGTCTCTCTCCATCCTTTCTCTCTTTTCTGTTTCTGGATATCTCCCTCTTGTCTCTTGCTGAAGGGTTGTGTCCTAAGGCCCCAGTCTACTTGGAAATCTTACCCAGTTCCGGAATCACTAGTCTGTCGCCCTCCACCAACAATACCTCTTAAACTTTTACTTAACATATAGATGTAAAGACTTGGGATCGATTTTTAATATTTGCCAATTTCACTCAAAGTCAATGTTTGGTTGATCAATTGGCCAGATTTAGGCCTTTTTTCCAAGCGAAGGTTGTATTATTTCCACAACTGGTAATTTTTCTCTAGTAAGGTTTCCAGATCTGAAGATTCATCTCCTGGTCGACTTCTCTGCCAAAGAAAATGGGTTGTGTTCCTTCTGCCATTAGCGTCTACCTTCTCCATACTTCTTTACCCCACTTTTACCTCTCATCACTCTCCTCTGTCACTCCCTCTCACCTTCACCTACCCTCTCCATACTTCTCTACCCCTAACAGAGAGAAACAATCCCGGAAGCTGTTATTGGAACCTCGGGTCTCTTACCTTCGACGATTTCTCACTCACTCAAGATCAGATGATGTTGGCTGCTGTCAGGATGTTCTCAGACCTCGGCCTTACCTCCAACGAGATTCCAAAGTACCTAAGATATGACTAGAATACAAGAAATTCAAGGTAACTTCATAGCTATACCTACCCTACCTAACTTAACGCAGCCTTGCTGAGGTGTACCCCTCTATCTTAATGACTGCTACCTGATTACCGTCAGACACTTATCACCTCACGCCTTCAACGTCGCCCACAATATGTTCTGTTTATTGAAGGTAAGACGGTGGTGGTGGCTGGCGGGTCTACAGTAGCAAGTGAGAGAGAGAGAGAGAGGGTCGGATGTAGGTAGGGAGATGGAGAGACGAGTAAGAAGGGAGAGGAGGGATGGGGGAGGGATAGGGGCCGGGGAGATGAAGGGAAGGGAACTCAGGGACTTGTTTACTGGCTATGTTTACACCATCACTGAGTTTGTTTATCTCTACTTGTTCTCTCACCTTGTCTCAAAAATATTGGGCTATTAGTTCTCACTGTTACATTCTCAGTCTAATCCACTGTGCGTGATGATTTGGCCATGATACCTATATTGTTAGCTGGAGCCCTCTTATGATGCTTCCCTCTGCTCGCTAATGTTTCCTTGGCAACTGAAGCATATGATTCCCCCAAACCTATGGCAATTGACTATACCTGACAACACACACATGCATGACAACTAACAAACACGTATGACATCTAACCATTTTAGCAACTAATATCACAACTAACATATGGCAACCTCCTACAGTCCTGCGGCATGATAGCCATGTTTGAAGAGGTGGACTGCCTAGGCATGTTTGTGGGGTGCCTCTGTCATGACCTAGATCACCGTGGCACCAACAACTCGTTCCAGGAGAAGTGAGTATGTTAGATTAGCATTAGTCACCATCTTCACCATCTTTATTCTTGCCTCCAAAACCATTATCATCTCATTTTCATCATCGCTATCTTCACTATCACCTCCAAAATCGTCACCATTATCCTAATCCCCCTCATTTTTATCGTCATTATCCTCACCATCTTTACACTCACCATAACCCACCTCACTATCATTGTCATCACTACCTTTATCATCAGCATAAGTCACCATCATTCACCACCATCACCATACTCACTATCACCTACATGCCACAACACTATCATCAGCTTCACCATCATTTTCATCACTATTTTCACCACAATCACCAACGTCATCAACAAGATACAAAAATTTATCCAAAAAAATCCCGTCAATTTCCAAAATATAAGATTTATCCCAAATTAACCCAAAAGTACTGTATAACCTAACCTAACTCTGACGTGTTTATAGAGCATTGCGTCTCTCTCTACAGGACGGGGTCGGCACTAGCACTGTTGTATGGCACTCAGAACACAATGGAGCAACATCACTTCAACCACGCTGTCATGATACTAAACTCTGAGGTAGGTGAGAGAGAGAGAGAGAGGCAGAAATGACGGGTAGTTAAACAGGTAGGGTAATTTTCTTAGCACAATACTTAATACTAATACATACAAAATACACACCGGTAAGAAAAGTTACACAAAAGTTAAAAACATCACTGTACAGATGATGAAAATTAATAAGAACACAGTGATTCCCTTTAATCTGAGTAGCACACCTAACAACTTACTAAGATCACTGGCTAGGAAAGTGTGTCGTGATCTAGTATAGAGAATCACTGGGAGAAAGTATACAATTAAGACACATAATTGTAACACTAAGTTGTCTTAAAGGCCTGAATGTCCCTAGACCTAAGAGAAATATACGAAACTTGAGATGCATTGAGGATAGTAGAGAGAGTGAGCTGGAGGTATGCATAGTGGAGTGTAGGGTGGAGTGAACAGTGGAGTCTGGAGTGGAGTCTGGAGTGTGCAGCTCATTAAATAACCTCAGCGATGGTGTCACATCTCTATTCTAAAAATGTGATTGGTTAACTCGTTGGCGTCAGCAGGTGTTCTGAGAAATTCTAGAGATGAGGGAGGCGGTGGGTGGAGCTTACTGTTGCCTCTCTCTTGTGCCGGAACCTCTACAGATTTCCACACGGGTAGCCAGCAAGCGACGGATGCATTACAGTACTTAATACTTCCTTGTTTTATACTCAACGTGAAAATGACTGTATTTGTATATTTTTGCCCTCGTACATTTGTAGTTGTGAGTAATATTTATGAGGTGATAGTGTGAGATGATGTCATTATCTTTTGTTCACAGGGGCACAATATCTTCAGTAACTTGTCGTCCAGTCAATACTCCCGGGTGATGAATATCCTCAAACTCTCCATCCTGGCGACTGATCTTACTGTTTATTTCCAGTGAGTATAATTATGTCTCTCTCTCTCTCTCTCTCTCTCTACTTATTTCTAATAGGTAAAAGATCTATTTATCTCCACATCACCAGTCTCCTCTCTCATCACCAGTCTCCTCTCTCATCACCAGTCTCCTCTCTCATCACCAGTCTCCTCTCTCAGTCTCCTCTCTCATCACCAAGTCTCCTCTCTCATCACCAAGTCTCCTCTCTCATCACCAAGTCTCCTCTCTCATCACCAAGTCTCCTCTCTCATCACCAAGTCTCCTCTCTCATCACCAAGTCTCCTCTCTCATCACCAAGTCTCCTCTCTCATCACCAAGTCTCCTCTCTCATCACCAAGTCTCCTCTCTCATCACCAAGTCTCCTCTCTCATCACCAAGTCTCCTCTCTCATCACCAAGTCTCCTCTCTCATCACCAAGTCTCCTCTCTCATCACCAAGTCTCCTCTCTCATCACCAGTCTCCTCTCTACCGCAGGATACGCACACAGTTCTTCTCGCTGGTGAGTGATGGTGACCTTGATGCCAGCCTTAAGGAACACAGGGACCTCTTACGTTCCCTCCTAATGACGGCTTGTGACATCGCCGCCTCCACCAAGCCCTGGGATATCCAGTTCAAGTGAGTCCTGGCTGGGCGGGATGGGACGGAGATGGACAGATGGGATGGCGCTGGGTGGGACGGGGTTGGATGGGGATAGGCAGGGCGGGAAGTGACTCGAGGGAGAAGTATAAGGAATTATTATTATTCTTTTCTTGTCTTGGATGATTTTGTTCCCTTTAATTGGTTTATTCACAGTTTTTCTTCATAATACATTTGCCTCACACAGTGTAACAGTATTATCCTTACCATACGCCTAGTATCCCTGTAACACAAACCAAAATGTGTCCTTCAGGGTGGCCAAGCTGGTGACATCTGAGTTCTTCGACCAGGGAGACCTAGAGAAGACCAAACTGAAGATCACCCCGCCAGCCCTCATGGACCGGGACCGTAAACATGAGTTACCTCTCCTGCAGATGCGCTGGATTAAAGACATCTGCCTCCCACTCTTCGAGGTGAGTTAAGAGGTTGGAAGGTGTGTTGGTGTATATGTATGTCTGTGTTGGGGGGAGGGGAGGGGGGTTGTTCGTGAGTTTACCAGAAGAGCTTTTTTTTATCGTTGAAGGTAAGTGACAGTCTGGCGTATCTCCGCTATACAGTATAAACGCACCAAGTGGTTCTCAGCAATTACTTTCTTGTCACAAATCGACAGTCGCCTCACTCTCGGCGAGCATCATCAACAACTTTATGTCATCTAAATCCTCCTCCTCCTCTTCCTATAGGGACTGACGAAGGTGAACCCGAAGATAGAACCTATGAGAGACGGGGCCCTCAAGAACATGACCAAATGGGCCAAGATGGCGGATTCGTTGGAGAATGGCAACTCGGAGATCCTAGACCCTCCAGACATCCCACCTCGGGTACCCGATGGATAGTCCACGTTGAGCTGCTGGAAGAACCAAGTCTGCTGTCTGCTGTGAAGTGCCGAGGGGGGGAGACTTGCTTTAGAGAGAAACGTTCTTGTAGGGTTGCCTCTTGGTGGAGTGTTACTAGCCAAGTCCAGGCTATTTTATCAGTGGTGTTGTGAGCCTCCGACACACCCTTAAGACGATGACAGGTTTATTTCCCTCACCAAAATCTCTTAAAGTCTTGGATCATATTTCAACATAAATTACAACATACAGTACATTAGGTCATTGAAATAAGAAAACTGTCGAATATTCTAGATCGTCTCGCAGCAAAACCTGTCGAATAACCTTGTTCATTATGGCAATGTTTCAGCGAGCAACACTGTGGGAATAAACGGGTCACCCATAAGTTGTATAGTCATGGCGGCTGTGTCGAAGGCCACACCACACTACTGGAGGGAGGTTGAGGTAGCCTTAGTGTCTCATGAACGGTGTACACAGTAGGTCACCAGTGTTGTTAGTCACCAACTGCCCTCACTACTCGGGTGTTGTGGTGAGCTGACTCCACTCTACTGTACGCTGGTGACTTAGAGTTTCCCTACAAGTAGACCAGAAGGTCGAGTGTGATGATGTAATGGTCGATCCCCTCATTGGTCATGGTAGACTACATGCTTGGTTCCTCCGCGACCTGTTGGCCCCTGGAGGTCAGGGGTCGCTACGCAAAGCTCAACAAAGTGATAAGCCACACTGGTTTAAGCCCAGTGACCAACCTGACGAAAGAAACCTAACCTAACCTAACCTGTCCTGACGAAGAAATTGAATCTACTCTGACCTAATCTATCCTAACCTAATCTAACCTAACCTAATCTAACCTAACCTATCCTATTAACCTAATCTAACCTAACCTAACATAAGGTAGAAACCTAACCTAACCTATTAACCTAACCTGTCATGACGTAGAAACCTAACCTAACCTATTCGATACTTGCCAACTAATTAAAAAACGAATTTGTTACCAGATTTTAATATTTTATTGTAAGAAATTCGAGATAGATGAACTTATCTCTGAGGGAGAGAATGAGTGTTGAGCTGCTGCACTGGTCATCAGGTCACTCTTAAAGTCTGTGTTATGTAATGTGAGTCAATATTTTTCTGTTCGTTTTCACTTGAATCTGAAAAAAAACAAAATGAGTGGCCATGATGCTTAATATCTACACCTAGTTTTTTGTTTTGTTAATAGATAAGTAAACTCTATTCCTTCCTGTTCATGAAGAGTAAAGTTTATTCCCTCAGATATTCACTATATTGTATTCCCTAAGTAAAGCCAACCTCCCTTCGTGGCTTTCCTTACTTCTCAAAACATTGATCTTTCTCGTCTTGAGTTTCCTATTTTTTACGTGACATAATCAACCATAGAGCCTGTGACATCAGATATTACCAGGGCGTTTAAAGGAAATGAATTTGGTATGAGGAAGCTATTCACGAGTGTCGACAGTGTAACGTATTAACCAATCACACGCCTCCATGGCCCTGACAACATTGCTGCAGGAAGCTTTATAGTGATAGCTTGGTCATGACGTCAGATCCATGGAGATGTGTGATTGGTTATAATGTCAGAGCCATAGAAACTTTTGATTGTTATGACGTCAGAACCATGGAGCCGTGTGATTGGTTATGACGTCAAAGCCTAAGAGACAAGTGATTGGTTATGACGTCAGAGCCATGGAGACGAGTGATTGGCTATGGCGTCTGAACCATAGAGACGTGTGATTGGTAGTGATAACAGACCCGTAGAGACGAGTGATTGGTTATGATATCAGAGCCATGGATGTGTATGATTTATTATGACGTCAGAGATATAGAGGCGTTTGATTGGCCCCAGCTTCATTACCATGGAGACATGCGATTGGTTATAACATCAAAGCCACGGGGTGCATGATTAGTTGTGACATCTGCATCATTGGAATGATTAGTTAACTATGATAAGGGTACAGGGGACGTGTGATTGGTTGTGACATCAGAGCTTTAAAGATGTGTGACTGGCTATGACGTCAGATTCATGGGGACGTGCAATTGATTTTGACGTCAAAGCCAAGGGGTACAGGATTAGTTATGACGTCAGAGCCATGGGGCTGCGTGATTGATTAGGACATAAGAGCCATGGGGCTTTGTGATTGTTATGACGTCAATACCTTGGAGACGTGTGAATGGCTATGACGTCAAACCCATGGGGGTGCGCGACTGGTTATGACGTCAGAACCATCGAGTGTTATCATTGGTTAAAGCAGTGTAAGGGGTGGCCATGACCGAGTGGGTACACCGCTCGGTCATGCCCAAGGAGTAGATGTTTATGACCGGAGCAGCAACAGTCTGTCTTGCTGCGAGGTAAAGACATGTAATCAAATACTGTAATGAAGTAAATAGCTTTGATGTTCAGTATTAGTTTTATCTTGAGAGTTTCAGCTAAATGATCCCATAGGTTCATCTTCCAGGTTGGTTTACATGTAGTCAGGATGGTTAGTACCTTCACCTCCCAACAGCCTCCATAAGTTTAGTGTCGAGCAAAAACTGTGTCTCATCCACTACACAGCACTGCTCGACACAGTCCTCCTCCTCCTGCTGTGTGCTGCTCTGTGTTCTAATGTGCGGTGCTGTGTCGCCTCGGCCTACCTGTACAGTTGGGTGTGTGAAGGCAGTCGAGTGCAGTACTGGCCCTTCTACTTCCTGGGCTGTAGCCACACCGCCACTAACTGTCCACTTTCGTGATTTGCCAACTGATGCCAAATAATAATTTACTCCACTTTTATATTACAATTTGTTACTATTTATAATTATGTGAATAATAACCCTGAATGCTATAATATCTCGGGAGAATTTATGCATATTATATGAACCAAGTGAAGTGTAGTTTTATATGAAATGTTTTAGAAGTTCTGACTTTCACAACGTTTCTCAAGTCAACTTTTTTCTATAGTTTATAGGGAAACATTCAGTCAATAAAGTCTTTAGTAATATGTTAATGAGAACAAGTGTGTGTGTGTGTGTGTGTGTGTGTGTGTGTGTGTGTGTGCACCTCTTTCAGGCAGACATAGGCTTTACCAAGGACTTCACTAGGACTTGCTTTATGTAACGGAGGTCCTGAGGATGTCACACACACACACACACACACACACAGCGTACTAAAGTAAAATATGTAGGTAAAATAATATGAATAGAGTGTGAAGGTATTGTAGCATTCATTATTTTGATGGTGTCTCTCTCTCTCTCTCTCTCTCTCTCTCTCTCTCTCTCTCTCTCTCTCTCTCTCTCTCTCTCTGGGAATCATCATAATCATCCGTTATAAACTATCTTTGTAAGGTAGTTCCAAGTATCGTTATTATTGTTCGCCATTCCTCTCTGTACTCGTATACTGACGAGAGTCCTTCCCTAACTGGATGTGTGCCCAAGGTACTCTTAACTCACGAGTACGTAAACAAACTTGAAGTCTTCATAAAAGTAGGAGGTTTATAAGAAGTAAGTTTACGGCTAACTACGGTAGTATAGGTAGTGTACTGTAGTATATAAGCAGTGTTTTGTAAAGACTTTGTATTCGTCTGTAGGTCAGATAATGAATAATTTTAAGTTCATTTAATTATACAAAGAATTATAAGAACTCCTTAAGAATTTCTCCTTGATAATATATTCTGTAATAGCATTTTTAATTCCATATATTAAACTATATTACTTGAGAGAGAATCCTGTTGGTGTACTGTGAAAGGTAAAGTGGAGCTTTGTGAAGTTTAAGTAAAGCTTTGTGTGATGATGACGTCAGGGACATGAAGTTATGACGCCGGAGTTGTGTGATTGGTTGTGACGTCAGAGCTGTGGAGGCCTATTAACAGAGGTAAACCGGTCAGGTCTTTAAGCTCCGCCATATAGAAGAATATTTTCTTTCTCCTTTGTCCTCTTGATGTGTGCCAATATAATTATACTATTCCCTGGTGACAGCGAATTTTGCTTCTGCAGCTGCCGCTGCTGCTGCTGTTACTGCTGTTTTTGCCGCCGCTGCTGCACACTTTAACTCTCAGAGTGCCAAAAGCTCTCACCACCACCATTACTGGCACTACCATTCTCGTCCCTGGCATAATGCCTACACAGTATCACACTGTCCTCTACCGCGCTCCACACAACAGGACACCGCCGCCAGAGAAGACGTCACTCCCCTGCTGATGTCATCTGCCTCAGATATATAAGCCAGTTATAGGAAAGTTTAAGGGTAAAATGAGTGAGTTTAGACAAAATGTGATGTATATAGGAAGAGCAATTAAGATCGCATTTAATCTACCGCCCTGTGAGGTGCAGCGCTGGCTGGTGAGGCCCTACTACCATCCTCCATATTGGATTCTCTTAAAGGTTTAGAGTCAAGATTCACCAGGACTCTGTACGCTATTGTTCCCCTACCTAGTGCTGAGTTAACTTATCTAGTTAAGTTAGTCTCAGTGCCGTTCTCATGCTGTTTTTTGTATCTTAGTTCAAGTTATGCTGTTAGTTGTGTTCTTACATTTTCACAATCAAGGAAACCTTTTAGTATTATGGCTCAGCACCTGCCATCGTCTGTGCTCCAGATTCTCAAGGAATATGCCGAGAATTTTTCCATGATATCTTAGTCATACGAGGAAAGATCTTATGGTAAAGTGTCAGTGAAATAATTTGTCTCTATTCCTGTGTTGCTGTTGAAGTGAACCAGTTAAGTACGTTTGCCATTTGCACTTAGGGAAAAGGTTTAAAGTAAGATTTCTTAATAATCCGTCACTTCAGATAACCGTATAGAAATATTCTCACGTCTTCAGTCAAGGGGGAAAAGATTTACGTACGAACTTTACAGAATTTTTTGGGCACTGGTGGACGATGCTCTGGGACTCCATCTTTATGTAGTTTCTTAACCGAGCCAGTTGGACGCGGTCTCTCATCTCCAACTTGAAGGGAAAATCTGATGTGAGAATGTCTTGGAATTCGAGTTTCTAAGTTAAGTGCGTAGACCTCGGACGAAACGGACCTTTAAACTAACCTTGTTTAGGGGTCAGCCAAGGTTGTTAGGCCACCATTGTTACTCTGATTACAGTCTTTTTCTACGCTTCCCCCGTGGTGTCTCCCCCTTCGATATTTTAACACAGTCGTAACATATCACAAAGAAGCGTCTGTGGGAGGTGGACAGGCACACGTGACATCCTCTCCTGCAGGCACGTTTGGCTCCTGCCTTAAGAACAGCGCCAGCACGAGCAATCAACATGTCCTGGCGTTCTTTCCTCTCCACCCTAACAGTGATGAGATTGTGTAACTTACGCCAGACGAACTCTTAAGAAAAAAAGTGGATTATAGCGCCAGTACAAGGAGTCTTTAGTGCCTGACGAGTGTCACTCAGGTGAAAGAAGCTACGCCAGACAAGTGTGTGTGGTTTCTGCCTGCACTGGCGCTCTTTTTATGGCATGAGTATTTGTTCAGTGAGTGTTTGGCCTTCACTACAAAAGATAACTAACCCAAAGTTCAAGTCAATTGGGGGTTATTGGCCTTTATCGGAGTCCTGGTGTCGCGGCGCAAAGTTCCTCAAGGAAGTTCTGTCTTAGTGAGGTGTGTGTGTGTGTATAATTAAAGATGAAGACATTCGCCAGGACATCCACTGATGTGGATGTCCTGACTACCCAGCAGGTCCCTCAGCACCCAGAGTTGACCCACCTCAGCTGTCCTCCACCCCGTGATGAGGTAGCTACTTCCATCAAGCAAATGAAAAATAACAAAGCCTCAGGGCCTGATGGAATCCCAGCCGAGGTGTATAAAGCAGGAGGACCTCTCCTTATCAGCCGTCTCCATTCTGTCCTGGAGAATATGTGGGAACAGAAAGAAATCACCGAAGATCAGAAAGATGCTGTCATTGTCAATATTTATAAGAACAAGGGAGACCGGTCAGACTGTGGCAACTACCACGGGATCTCGCTTCTGTCCGTAGCTGGCAAGATTATCGCTCGAGTCCTGAACAGACTTCTTTCTGAGGTGGAAAATTCCTCCCTGAATGTCGCTGTAGACCATCACATGGCACCACTGACATAATCTTTGCTGCCCGCCAGTGCAGAGAACAGCATCGTTACTTGTACATGGCTTTCATCGACTTTGCTAAAGCCTTCGATTCGGTCAACAGGGAAGCCCTCTGGCGGACCCTCAGTCGTATTGGCTGCCCACCAAAATTCATCACCATTTGGAGGCAACTCCACGATGGCATGAACGGCAGTGTCCTGCACAATAGCACCCAGTATGAGTTCTCCATCCAAACGGGGGTTAAACAAGGATATCTGCTGGCACCAATTCTCTCCTCCATTTTCTTGGCCGTGTTCCTTCTCGGGTCAGTACCAATTTAGCTGGCGAGGTGGACATCGAGTACCAGATGAAGGGATTTTTCAACATAAGACGACTCCAGGCCGAAACAAAGGTGTCAGCCGCTTCCATTACTGGACTTCAGTATGCAGACGACCTCACCCTCGTCGCTCACACTGAACGTAACATACAGGAGATCCTGAACACCCACCTGGACACAGGTCATCGACCCAGAACGGGGCCTGTGGGGCGAAAAAATAGAGGAGAAAAAGATTATATTAATCTACACCACGAAGATGCAGTAAAACCAGTTTTTTAAAGTGAGACAGATTGTATGAGTATGGAAACACAGAAGAAGGCAGAGCATTCCACAATTTGGCTGTGTGAAGAAAGAAGGATGTACTATAATGAGTTATTCTAATGAAACAAATGTTCACACAGAAACGGTGGGCACCGCGGGCAAGACGAGTGTTACGAGCCCACGGCCAAGCCGACGGTATACAGGATGCCACATCCACAGAACATTGCCCATTATAGTAACTGTAAAAGAGAGAGAGAGAGAGTGAAGTAACATTGCGGCGAAGAGAAAGGGAAGAGAGATTATCAACTAAAGGAGGAGAGTTAATAAGACGAAATGTCTTTGATTCTACCCTATCTAACAGTTGGACAGAAGAAGAACCAGCCCAGATATGAGAGCAGTACTCCAAGTGTGCATTTGCACACTTCGGCCTTGAGGTGAACGTACATAAGACTTCAGATTCCCTTCAAGCCTGCCCCTGGTTCAGCCACACCACCATCCATCCAGCTTAACGGTACTACCCTCTGTAATGTTACCCACTTTTAGTACCTCGGCTCCCACCTGTCCACCACCGCAGACATCGATAAAGAGATTCAACATCGGATCAGATGTGCATCTCAAGCCTTTGGCAGACTCCGTACCCGTGTCTTCAGTTGTAGGGAGCTGAAATTATCTACAAAGTTGCACGTATATCGAGCAGTGGTCCTCCCCACCCTGTTATATGGCAGCGAGACATACTGTATGCACTTGAAAACTTTCACCAACGTAGTCTGCGTTTCATCTTCAGAGTTCGCTGGGAAGACAAGAGAACAAATGCCAGCATTCTCGCTGACACCAACTGTAGGAGCATCGAGGCTACCATTATCCATGAACAACTATGCTGGATTGGCCATATTACCCACTGGCCATATTACCCACATGGACTACAGTAGACTGCCAAAACAGCTACTCTACAGGCTTCTAAAGAATAGTAAATGTAAAGGCCCACATCTAATTCAAATCTTTCCAATTTTATCCCAGAGCGAAGACAGTTCCCTCTCCCTAGAGAGGCAGCGAGTCGTGTAATAGGTATTAGCTAAGCTGAAAAAATCATAATACCCAACGCGGCGTCACATCTCCGGACAATTTGCGTCAGAATTTGTCCGCTTCCGACCTCGGTGTGAGCGGGCCCTAACGCTGGCGGGCAACTGAAAAAGTATAAGGATAATCTTAAACAAACCTGAAAATGTGCCAAATCGACCCCCTCACCTGGGAGACGATCACTCCACACCGTAACGCTTGGAGGAGCACCACACAAGACGGTGTCAACTTTCGAGTTAGCCCGACTGCATACCGAGGCAACCAAGCACCAGCTCCGGAAAGATGCTGCCGCCGCCCCTCCCGCACTAGATGTAGCCCTCCACACGTGTCACATCTGTGGACGACCCTGCCGGTCCCGTGTCGACCTCTCGAGTCACCTCAGAGCTCACCAACGGAGGTGACATCCTTAATAACTCATATCATTGTATCATAGCTGGATGATCGTCTTACTCGATTCCAAGTGACTGTAAAGTTGGGTGTGTGTGTGTGTGTGCGCACTCTCACCAACTTGAGGTAAATGTAAGCGTACGAACTTTCGAGACATTGTCCTGGGTGAAGTGAGCTGAGGTAGACGAACACACACCTCACCGAGGGAGTATTTCCCGTGACACCGATAGTACAAAGGCAAATGTTAGGTCACAGATGTGTCCACAGGTGGGCTTAAATGTTTGTCCTCACATAACAACAGGTAGGAGAGGAGGTACCGCAGAGCCCCTGGGACGACTGGTTGTTAGTGACACAAATCGTTACTTTGGGTTGTTAATTTGATTGTTATAACTGACTGTTATGATTGATTTAACTTAATATTAAAGTGACTCATTGTTAATATTGGAAATTAAGTTTATTGAATGACAAATTACCAACATTGAAGGTTACTTTCAATTTTATGGTTATACTGTTAAACCAGAGTGTTAATTTGTTTGTCAAAAAATAATGTGAATTTGGTGATCAGTATAATATGTTGTTTATGGAAGTGTAAAATAAGTGTTACCCTCGTGTGAGTTACCGGGACAGAGCTACTTTAATGTTCTGTTGGATTCATTTGACATTGGATAAAGATTATTAAGTTTGCATGATGCCAGATCTTGTGTCTGTCTGAATAATGATGAGATAAACTTCAACCTAAATCCCCTGGCAGGTTTCACATTATAACTGAGGTGAACAACAACTGATCAAAGTGAGTGAAGGGTCTGCCTCAAGGTGCCGGTCTGCGGTGCCTGAGTGACACAGTCATAATTTTCGTGATGGTACATAATTCTTTTACTGTACTTGTTTTTTAAAACTGAAATGCACTTTAAAACTATCTACTAAAATATGCCAGTGCAATAATTTATAAGAGTAAAAGGGTAAACAATTAACTATATTTTATCATATCTCAATGCAGTAATTTAGACGATTAACATGTGCAAGGAAGCCAAATGGATTTCGGATTGTGAGTAGTAAGAGAGGCAGACGAAATGCTAAATGCTTCTAGTATGGGAAATAACCTACAGTGGTAACGCGCGTATTGCTCCCTCTTATATAAAGGGTTCGAGCCTCGCCCCGGACACGTGTGGGAGGGTCTTAATTTACAATCCCATAAAGAACAGATTGTTGAACATCACATATAAATAAAACTTGGAGACGTAAGTGAATGAAATAAAATATATGTTAATAATCTAAAATATTTATAGAACTGGCCAGTGTACTTGATTCTTATGCTGATAGAAAGTTAAAAGTGGGAATTACATTAAACGTTATGTGGACATTCAATATCATAAAAGGGTGTTATGTTATATTTATAAATGAGAAGTTAAATTGAGCTGGTAATTTGTTCACATCAGCATCGACTCAGTTGTGTCAGAAGATTGATAAGACGAGCTGATGAATATTTGCATTTTTATTTTAAATGAGCCATATATATGCGCTCTCACATCCCTACTTATCATGTACAGTAACCCCCCAAAAAACACACGAATCCTTGGGAATTAAAGACCAAAGTTAAAATGTAGTACAACGATTTTGATTTATGAATGAGGTTTTACTGGCAGTGAGCAGGAACGACATGAGGTACTGTCTGGGGAGTTTATAAAGCTGAGACATTTGCCTTTGTACACTCCACTTGACCTATTAACTAAGCTTCGCCCACATAGGACATCCTTATCAACCACCACAGTTCAAAGCAACTAATTGGTAGTTGGTTTCTGAGTCGCGTCTCCACATTGGCAAATTCAGACATTTTTTTTCTTATCACTATTTAACAATGTAATTTGTATAGATGAGGTTTGTGCTTTCACCTCAAGAGATTTGGATTATTATTAGTTATCGCAAAGATTAAAAATTACCGTAAACTTGCCAATTATAATACTGTAAACATATTTTTTAAAGCTTAGTGGATAGGTCAGTTCCTCACCAGTGAATCACGACAACGTGTGTGGTTACTTGCCTTTTCGAACTAGTGATTAAGGATATATATAAATAAAAAAATATATTATATACAGTATATATATAGAGAGAGAGAGCTGTAAAGTTCCGTAGTAGAGGAGTTTTCTGATAGACTTTATGGATAATAATAAAAAGAATTGTATTTCATTTATCATAGATATTTCATCGTCTATTCTCTCTATCTCTCTCAAGGAATAAGAAGCTTTGCCAGAAGTGTGGTAATTGATTCTTGACTCCCTTCTTGCTACTGTATATATGATCTTCTTCTCTTATTTTTAATAAAGTTATCTATTAAATAATTGTTTTATTACCTTTCTCAACCTTATTTTGTCCATGAGTATTTCACGGAATGATGGATATTATGTGTACACTTACGTTCATATACTTACGTTCCTACACACATACGTTGATACACACATACATACTGTACTGATGAGTGCAACTGTTCAAAACTGAAACTGATCATTAAGGAAACACGAGCATAAATGAGGCAAAAGTACCTAAATATGTTCACACTGATGTATATACAGTCCACGCCACTTGAGTTATTAGCCACACAAACTGGAGGCCTAGAAATTCTTAACCGGCAACTTGGCTGGGTACGTCCCCCCCGCCTTCAGAAACAAACCAGGCAATTAATCGGTGGTCAGCCAATGTACTAAGTCAACACTTACCCCCGAACACATTAACTGGATAAATAATTAAAAAAAATATGTTTTCTGTTTCTAAAACCTATCCATACATTAATTTTAGTTACGAATATGATAGAATATATAACATGATGTGGGAGCTTTGAAACAGGCCACTGGTCATTTACACCGGATATTCCACCAATGGGCGTTGACCAGAGGTTGACAGCCGCCCACCGTGCCTCGAGGCTCGCCTTCACTCGACAGTATGTCGATAAGGAGGAGCAATTTGGGGCAAGAGTTGTGTTCACCCAACAACCTTGGCCGTATCCGTGTGTGGCGCCAAAACAACACAAGGTAACGTACCCATAAAGTTATGTTTACAACCTGTTACGTGGTTAATTTTAGTATAGTGTATATCAAATTACTTTATTTTACTTTAACTTTTTTCCTCTTCGTCACTGTTCGGCTCGCTAGCCGCCCGGGCGATCGGTCACGTCTCTGTCACACACTGTTGGCAAATACTGGGCATGCACCGGCTCCTGAATGTACCTGAACCTGCTCCAGTGTTGGTCAAGTCTTGTCTTGAAAGAGCTCACACTCGGTGCCGTCACAACACTCTCTGGTAGAATGTTCCAAGAGTTCACAACTCTCACTCCGAAAAAGTTTGCCCTCACAGTTTTATGGACTTGCGGCTTCTTCAATCTTGAGCTGTGACCCCTTGTAGGGCGAGCGTCCGCCAGCTCCAAGTAAGGACACTCGACTGAGTAGTGCCCCTGGAGATGCTTATACACCTCAACTAGGTCACCCCTTGCCCGTCTGTAATATAAGCTAGGCAAGTTCAGACGCTCCAATCTCTCAGGGTAGCTGAGGTGCCGAAGTGCAGGCACCAGTCTGGTGGCCCTCCTTTGAACATTTTCAACCAACTGACAGTCCCTAGCATATCTCGGGGACCAGACGGGGTGACAGTACTCCAGATGGGGAAGCACTTCACTCCTGAAGATCGTTGCGAGGGACGGACCGTCTAGATATCTGAACGACTTTCTTATAAGACCCAATAATTTATTTGCCTGGTTTACATTCTTCTCGCAATGGCCCGAGAACTTCAGGTCATTGTCAATATACACACCTAGGTCCTTCTCACATTCATTCTCAACTAGTGCAGTTTCTTCATTCCGTTGGGACATATGATACGCCTCCTTACCGTCGGTACGCCCCAGGTGCATCCTCTTACACTTCGTGACATTGAATCTCAGCAGCCATTTCTTCGACCATTCCTGGAGCCCACAGAGGTACGTCTACAGCTCTTCACAGTCCGCTTGGTTCTTAATTTCCCGAAATAACTTAGCGTCATCGGCAAACATTTGTATGGAGGAGTGTACAACGCCAGGCATGTCATTTATGAAACAAACAAACAATAGCGGGCCCAATACACTGCCCTGTGGTACCCCACTTGTGACAGGTACGGATGACGATTTCGTGCCATTAATCACCACACACTGCTTGCGGTCATGTAGAAAGTCTTCTATCCATGCTAGGACATTTTCCCTAATTCCGTACCCTTCCAGTTTGATTTTCAGCCTTTCATGGGGTACACTGTCGAAAGCCTTGACAAAATCTAGGTAAATATTGTCGATATTACCACCCCGTTCCAGAATATGGGTCAAAATATCCAATACCTTGAGCAATTGTGTTAAGCAGGAGCGCCCCGGCATAAAACCGTGTTGGCAATCCTTTACAAGATTGCTTCGTATTAGATGTTCCATTGCGGCATCTCTGATAACACTCTCAAGTACTTTACATATTATGCTGGTCAGGTTCACCGGTCTATAGTTGTTCGTGGAGTGACGATCGCTGGGGACCTTTTGTTCATCCAGGCATTTACAAAACAGGATCTTCAGGGGCTCGGCTAGCTCGTTGCACAACTCTCTTAGCACTCTAGGATGCACCATGTCAGGGCCGGGACTCTTATGGACCTTTAGCCTGGACAGTTTATTTCGAACCGTCTGTCCTCAAACGCAGGAAGGTTAGTTGCATCCTCTTTTGTGAACACCGAGGAAAAGAAGCTGTTCAATGCCTCAGCTTTATCCTGGTCAGAATCTGCGTAACTACCATCCACCAGCCTTAGGTCTGATACTCCTACTCGCGTTTTCAATTTCGACTTTGCATAGCGGTAAAACGCCTTTGGGTTTGACTTGACCTCTCTTGCAACCAGCCTTTGGAACTCCTTTTCAGCCCTTCTACATTCTATATTTGCTTGGTTTCTGACCCTTGCATACATCCTCCTGTCCTGCTCATCGTTTGACCCAACCCAAGTCTTGAATTTCTGGTCTTAAATAGCAGGGGTTGTCGTGGCTTAGTAGTTGACCTCCGTGATGTATGGCGGCGCTGGTTGACCTAGACCACGAGGCATACACTGGGGAATTGGTGGGGTCGACTACTCAGAGACAAACAGCATTTGTAGGGGAGAAATCCACTACAATACAAAATAGTTTCACGCTGAAAACTTATGAAAGCGGGTGAGAACATAATGATCAGTTGGTCACAGATTTCATTAAACCAACGCCACCATGTGAGATTAATTTGGGATATATTCTGAATAAACTTAAACATAGTTCCCCTTTATTATGCTTTACTACAACAATCTCATACATTTTAAGCATCATTGTCGCTGTCCCAATCACCCACTGTCTTGTTAGCTTTCTAGATTTTATATAACAGGGAAGCCTAACAGTTTAGTTATACTCCCTGAGCTAATTAATGCTTATATGCTCTCCTCTACTCCTTGCCCCTCCCTAGGCCTACTCCTTGCCCCTCCCTAGGTCTACACAATATATAAACTACTGTAGGGCTTAACTCCTCCTAACCTTAGTGCTTGTTTTAATAATTCACGTGCTTCTCATATTTATTTTAAAAGCATTTACCTTTATAGAGATTATTACAATACTTAGTAACCTATTTATTATATAAAATTTCCTTATATCTCAAGAAATTTATCCTTATAATGATTTAATTTTAGTAACTACATGTTCATAATTACTTCTAATGATTTAAACATGTTCATAATTACTTCTATTTTTTTTTTACAATAAACTGGATACTGAATTAATCTTATTAGTATTAGTGGTAGATCAGTAATAATTAATTAGTTAATATTTGTTGAGGTGGACTGAGCCCCTCACCCTCGGCTCCTCCTCCAGTGTTTACCTGCGGCAGGATCTGATAAGTCAGGAATTATTTGTGGCTATTATCCTCTTATTATCCTACTTCACTATGGCTTCTGATGAAAATGAAGTAGTTCTTTATAATGTTAATGATACGGTATGTTGGTTTATATTATGTAATGGAATATAAGGAGGTTTTTATAGTTTTTATGCTAAGAACATGTGTTTGCTCCAGGTGAAGTCTTGATGGATGGGGGTATTTTTCTGACTAACCTAATCATTATTTAACAACATTTCGTTATTATCTGTATTTACTATGTTTTATTTATCATTTCATCATTTATTAGCCATTATAACCCTTCATACATGCTTGCAGATGTTAGACTCTCAGTGTCTGTTGCTGAGGTCTGCAAATATAGCCCCTCTGTCAGAAACCAGAGTGGTAAGATAATTTGGGTGAGTTTTGAATGAATTTGATATTCATTTCCACTGGTAGATACCTCCCAACAATCTTAAGGAAAGATGTTGGGAAATTTGAGTTTTTTGTTGGGTAAATAACAGGTTATTTCCAGTGGAGAATACGGATAAATCGTTCAAAACTCATCAAAAACCATAGGAAAAATATATTTCCAATACAGAAAGAAATGTCACCTAGCTTAACCTACCCCTTTTTTTCTGTATAAAAAAAAAAAGTCAACAAACCAACCAATTCTAACCTAACCTAACTTAACCTAACCTAACCTTAATCTGAAGAAGAATCAGGTTCATCTGCATCGTCTCTGTTTGAATCAATTTGGACAAGCAACGTTGTTCGGTAATACACCGTGTTTTCTGGAAAATGAAATGGCCTCACTATTTTTCTGACGAAACTCTGCAGTTGACGTAAATTAATCTCTGTCACAATGTCGGCACAGCTCTTCCACCTGTTCAGCCATATTTGGTTATTATGGTACTGAAAAATCAAATCTCCGCTCCCGACGCTCCCACGTATTGTTCATTGGTTAAGACAAAAAACTCTTGCCCAATAATAAGTCTCCCCTCGCTTATCACAAACCAATCAAAACGTTCCCTCACCATCTATTTCCAATAGCCAATAAGAACTCCCACACCACCCACGCACCACCCCCTGCACATGCGCTGTAGACGCTTAAGAAGCCAACACGGAGGTAAGGAGCACTGGCTGAGGGGGGTCAGAGCTTCTCCGCAAGACATAAACAACCAATGGCGAGACATGACGGACCAAATATAATATTATTGGAAAACTTATATCTAGGTTATCCTTAATTTCCTGGGGAAATATCACAGAAGAAATTTTGGTACATATCCACCTGGCATTACTTTTTTTTATGCATTTCTTGATTGATATTAATTTTTCTATTTCAGGAGAATCTGACCCATGAAGAGATTTGGGACGACTCTCTTTTGATCCAACAATACGACGAAGCCATGGCACAAGTACGTCGAAAGTTACAACACAAGATATCGGCGACAAATACAACCGAGAGCGAGCAGTCAGAGAGGATGGTGACAGGTGGGGAGAACCTCTCTGAACGCAAGGAAAAAAGTGGCAATATCCAAAAGAAGAAGAAAAAAAAGAAGAATAAGAGAAAATCTGATGTAGGTTGATGCTGTTTTATCTAATGTTGGAATAATGGGACAAGAGATTATGTTGTAGATGGTAGCTGAATCATTTGTCTGGTATTGTGATCTATTTGTAATAAGAACATAAGAATGGAGGAAACTGCAGCGGGCTATACTGACCCATACTGGGCAGTCCCATTTACACCCGACCCCTATCGCTCGTATATCCGTCCAACCTATGTTTGAAGCTATCCAGCGTGTTCGAGTTAATGGTAACTTGTTCCACTCATCCACTGCTCTATTTCCAAACCAATGTTTACCTATTTTGCGCCTAAATCTAAATTTGTCTATTTTGAAACCATTGCTATGAGTTCGCTCCGGGTTGGATAGTTTAAGTACCTTTCTTATATCACCTTTGTTTAGCCCTGACTTCCATTTGTACACCTCGATCATATGAAACTCTTTGCGTGTTTGTTTATACCGGTGTGTATTGACAAGATTTAATGGCAGTACAGTACTTCTGTATATTTTATTATTACAGTGGCACACTGGGGATCCATGTCGTTCAAGGTTCACTGAAGATGGAATCTGGTACGAGGGAACAATCATTGCCCTGGACGCCAACACTGGCAAGTGCACTGTCCGCTATGTAGGGTATAACAATGAAGAAGAGGTGGCAATACACGCGCTCATAAAATCAAAAGGAAAGGCAGCCCGTCAAATGCAGATGGAACTTGCTGATGATGGCCAATCTGAGGTGAAGAACAAACATTAAGCTTTACTGATTTACACTGGGTAGTTATTTTGTATACAAACTGAGGAATTGTTGGCATATTCAATAAGGGTACTGTACAAGCCTGCCACTTTTCAAATTAATTGACCCAGGTTTGAAAGAGTGATGATTAATTGTTGTTTGGGAAACTCGGGAAATAATGAGGGAGTCAAAAATGGCTGGCAACGTTGTGCCTAGCGTGTAAATAGTATAAGCTTAACCTGAACAATGGACTTATATGAGACTTGGTGTGTAGATATATCATAACAGGATCAACGATAAGCAGTATTTTCCATAGTTTTGATACAGGTTATAGCTATTTGAACTTTGTTGTTGTATGGGTGGAAATTTGGCAACCTGTGCTGGCCAACACTTGTTCATACAGTCGTGACAACAATTGTTTCTTTGGTCATAACTCAGTCTCATTATGACTAGAAAAAGGTTTTATGTTTCATTTTGAATTTTCAGCAGAGTGACATGTGTAGTTCTGTGGTTGAGAGCGACTTCCAGTCCGACGCTGATGAGCGCACCGGCAAGAGGCAGAAAGCACAGTCACAGTTCCAGTATGGAAGGGTAATGTTTACACTTATCATTACTAAGTAGAGTACACAATTTAGAAATATATTCATTGTAACATCATCATTTTATAGTCATTTTCCACACTTGCATGAGTTAGCCACAGTTACCTGATGGTAGCTCTCCATGCTGCAGTCTCTCTTGTTAGGTTCTTAACTCTAATGGCATTTCTTGCAGCCTCTCCCCATATCATTCTGGCTCTGCTCCACATTTATACTTCTGCACCTCTTGACCCAGTTGGTTTCATTAATTCTCTCAACTGGCCCAAACCATCTCACCCTACCTCTATGCAAAATTTTGCCAATAGTACTCTCAATACCCAGCCACCTTCTTAGCTCTGAACAGGATTTCCTGTCTTTCAGTGTCATATTGTACATCCACCTCAACATTCTCATTTCAGCTTGCTCAAGTCTGCATACATCATCCTCTTTAACTACCCATGTTTTACCGCCATAAAACAACATTTCTCATGCCAGTCGTATAAATCTTTCCTTTCGTGTGGAGGGAAGGTCCTCTTGCTGTCAATAAAGGCAGTCACTTCTGACTCTTGTAACTGAGCTGACTTCAGCACTCCCTCCAGCACTTATCCTGTCACCCTGGTAACACAACTTACTGACACAGTCCAAGGATATATCCCTACAAATAATGGTTAAGGTCTATACTAGACTTTATTTATCTGTCTGTGCATTCATCTGCAGACAAAATGTTTTAGTGTCCTGTGTTTAAGGTCATTGTGATTTAGTTTATAAAAAAAGTGACTTATGTGGTATAAGTAATTCCAGTATTTTAGAAACTTTTCTAAAAATCAAACCATCTACAGTATCTATACTGTTGTGTCAGATCCTTGTAGTGTGGCATGTGATAAACAGTCTGTCAGTCACATTAATACTGTAGTTGTATGTGCAGTTATAAACCAGACATCAAGACTTGACATATTTAAAGGGACTTATTATCTGTGAATGTTACTTAAGAAAACCAAGTTTTAGGTTGTTCATTATAATAAATAAATTCCCTGAATTACAAAAAAAATGATGTCATAAATTTCTCTTCACAGATGCCTCCACCAAATTATCCAAGTGGAGGAAATTTTACACCACCAGTAAGTATAAGTCAGATGTGTTTGATGTATGTTGTACTTTTATCAGTAGATTTTGTCTCTGGAAATATTACTGTCGGCTAAATGTTTATTCCCCCCCCCTTTTTTTTTTTACATAATTATGTTACAGTCCACACACATACACACACATCAGTGACCTTCACAAATGTACTGCACCAATAAGTTGATGGGTTAACAACTTAACACCTGTAGGCTCCTAACCTCCTTAATTTGTATGACTGGGGCTTACTGCAGCAGTCCAGTAAAAATCAGAAAATTCAAAATAGTATCTCTCCCTCCTGACTCATCCATAGCTGAGAGTTAAGTGTGTTTGCCCACTACACTAACACTCCTAAGTCAGGCAGGTTAGAAAACTGGAATCACTCTCAGTGTACCTCAATCACCTGTGTTTTCAGTAGTTATTTACTTCCTGTACCATACTGTGTTGCACAATTCAAGGCATTTATACAATATTATGGGTATACAGTATTGTGTTGGGTTTTAAGAGTGTATACATTATTTAAAAGCCTGGCCAGAAGTTAAATCTCCCAGCATTATAAGTACTGTGTGTCATTACTCCACGTGATGTAACTCAGTACCGGTGGCTTGTAAGTGGATATTCAGGTTCTCTTAAAGGATAGAAGAAATGTTTTTGTTCTTATCGAGGTGTTTTCAATACTTGAATGTCCCTCTTTACTGGTGGTAGCAACTTATGGAGACTTGTTGATGTAACAGGAGTTAGCTAACCTGTGCTTGGTCATGAAATGGGATTTTTGGATAATCTGCTGTTTTGTCACTTTGTAATGATCTCTTCTGTGGTTCTTTCCATCTTTTCTCTTTTTATTCAGTTGACACTTTTTCTGGTATGTTTTTATACAATCACATTTTCTCTACCTCCTGTATCATTTGCTGCAGTCTTCAGTACATTATATCTTTATCTCCTCACTTATTTTGTTTTGCTTCTTTACAACTGTCTTTTGTGTGTTTATACCTCCTAATGTGTAGCTGTACTGTAAGTTTACCCAACAGTCATTAAATCTTATTCCTTGGTGGAGGCGCAGGTGGTCACTGTCTTTTATTGACATAAAGTTGCCTGGTGTGTAAGTACAGCACGGAATTACCTCTCCATACCAAAATAATTGTTGATCAGCCAGGTCTAACAATCAATGGTGAAGAGGATAAAGTTGCGAGGTGCATGTGTTTAAACTGAAACTCCCTCTAACCTGAAGTTGCTTAATCCGGATCCCCTTGGAAACCTCACTGGGGTCCAACACCGAACACGTGTATCCCCAGCTGGGAAAAAACAACCCAAATTTGGTTAGTACAGTACTGGGGAAAGTTAGTATAGGTGGAGGCTGCACAGGAGAGTAACTTGGAGGCAGTAGAAGTGTCTTAAGAAATACGAATACTGTACAGTACATATTTTAGAGCCATAAGGGCACATTAACATTTGTCTAGGGTGGTGTTCTAGGAGGGCATGTGTCTACCCCACCCCCCCTCCCTCAATTTGGGTCCAGTCCTGTGTTACATAATTTCTACCTAATCTTGCCTCCTTAAAATTATCAAATAGAAATACAATATAAGATAGATAAAGAATATACTGTACTCTCGATTTAATGGAATCCGATATAACGAACTCTTGATTTAGCGGAAGGAATTTTGTCTGATATTTTCTCTCAGTTTAGTGAACTACTGTAGTTCACTATATCAAGATTAATTCTGTTAATACGCTCACACCTATAGAGACACCTCAGACACATGATAGGTACATAGAAACATTAGAAACATTATTCATGGCTTACCTTAAACTAGGGGGTTTGGTGTTTGTTGTAAATTTTTTCTATAATTTCCAAACTTTTTTCCAATTGGTAGCCACACTATTTTGACTTCTTCCCCACACCACTTTCTTTCTGAGACTTCTGAGAGACTTTCGGCATGATGTTTAATTACAGTCGTTAGTTGACCGAGAGGTAGCAGTGAACAACACGCGGTGGCAGTAGAACACAAACTGAGCTGATGTAAACAAACCCCATGCACAAAGTGGAGCATTTGGCTCAGAATTAAACAGAATCACGCTCGATTTAACAAAGTAGTTTGCTAAATCGAGCGAAAATAACGGAAATTTTATTTAGCGGAAATTTAACGGAATCCTGCTCGATTTAGTGAACTACGTAGTTTGCTAAATAGAGTGAAAACACCGTAAATTTTTAATTAACAGAAAGGGGTGGCTGGAATTAGTTTGTTAAATCAAGAAAATACTGTTTGACATTATTATTCAAATAACATAACATATAGGTAATTTTTGTTCATATCAGCTATTTAAGAACCTGATTCACATATACAGTGAAACGATTTCGGTTAACGAACTTTCCATAAGGATCTTCAATTCGGTTAACGAACAAAAATTCGTTAACTTTACCCGACCTCAACATGTTTTCTTGCACTGGCCGGGCAACCAGCTTTAGTATCAGTCCGCCAATACATTAATCGGTTCTAGGGCTTAAATTCCTAACTATTTTAGTAAATATCAAGAAGTTTATACTATTCAATAATTTTAAAAGTTTAATATTCAATTTTTAGTCATTTTAACAATTATTGAACATAATTGAAGGTAAAGTGACTAGTTTAAAGCGCAGCATCCAGCCTCTTAACACAGCAAACAGGCGTTAGTCTCTCTGTTTTCACTGGAGGTAACATCTTGCTTGAGACTCTCTTCAACTAAATGCTTTTTTCTGTGTTTCCAAGCAAATTATTGGTCATTTTGAAATATATTTTACATATTGACAATATATAATGCAGTACAGTGTTGATTTAAAGAAAATAATCTTGAAATACACCAAGAGAACTAAAATTTTATGGGTGAAATGGTGCCATGGGGTGACTTCTCTTCCACCCCAATGCCTTCTCTTCTTCCTTCTCCTCCACCCCCATTGTAATTCCCATCATCATCATCATCATCCAGGAGCCTTCTACATACACACCTCAAAGTAAGTGAACTTTTCTATCATTTTTGTTGAATTTAGGAAATTTTTGGTGAGCTGGAACCAATTACCCAAAAACCCATTGAAACAATGGTTTCGGTTAACGAACTTTTCGTTAACGAACGACCTTCCTTGCCATCACTGTATAAGATTTACATTTTATCATCCAAAGTCTTTACCACTAAACTGTTGTTATTCCTGAAACATGAGGTGTATGAGCATCTAAGGTGACATCCTTTTGGTAACAATTAAGGGCTGGCTGGATAAGATTTAGGAAACATCTGTACAATAAAGTCAATTGTTAGGGCTACCAGTGGTGACCGTGCTCCTGCCATGGTCACTACTCGAGGATACAAATTGCAGTAATTCCTTGATTCGCTCCACCCAAAAATGAGAGTTGAGTAAAGATGATAGATGTTAGTTTCACAGGCGGTTTAGAAGTTGCACTCGGCTTTTATCTTTCAGTGTTCTCCTTCACATGCCTAACAGGGCGGAGTGTTTGAGTATACAATCTTGTTGGTCTCATAAATCATCTGTCTGTGTTCAACTCTGTTTCTCTTCCCTGTTCATATTTACTTGTGTGTTGAAGAGGGTATGTTATGGTGTGACTTATATTTTTTTTTTAAAGATTCGTAGGAATGTTAACTACACAAACCTTAAGCTAAAATGCTGGTCCACCACCACACGGCCAACCCACGCACCACCACACGGCCAGCCCACGACCACCACACGCCACCCACGCACCACCACACAGCCAACCCACGCACCACCACACGGCCAACCCACACACCACCACACGGCCAACCCACGCACCACGGCCAACCCACGCACCACCACACGGCCAACCCACACATTACAGCTCTGTGTTTGGTTCTTTGTCAATCATAAAACCCGCCATCGCACGGCTCTACGATTATCGGCCAGCATCGTAAATTGTACTTATCACCAGTGGTTTTATTTATATTTTTTTTTATAATTAAGGGACAGCACTAACATTTATATTGAACTGTGGTATGGTGACTGTGAAGTGATATTTTCTGTGTTTTTGTGACTAAAGTGCTTCACCTCTGTTGTTTGAAAATGTGAGCAGTGTCGGCAGCTATCATTTTTTTTTTTATCGTTCGCTCTGTTTTTGTGACTGAAGTGAACAGTGTAACTCTGAAAATGTCTGGGAAGGCCAAGACATTCAAGACAACTGTGTCTCTGGAGGTGAAGCTTGACATTGTGAAACAGCATGAGACTCCCCAGAGGCTGTGTGGGTCAGAGTGATGCCTCCACTCCACTTACAAGAGACTCCTTAGCCTTGAAGGGGACATGTGATGATGACCAGACTTATTCTTCACGATGTGGTGATTGTTGTTTACTTGTTTTGTACTGGTACTGTAGAAGTTTTTTTTCCAGTGATACATGTGTGTTTGGGGACTGACTGAGAAAGTATTGAACCCCATGTTATAATGCTCCCTGTTTACAATATTTCACCTGGCGATGGTTTTTTCAGGAACATAACCCCATCGTGTCTCAGGGGTTACCTGTATTGATTTACAATAAGTTTTGTGATTAACCTTTTTCAAAGACACTGCAGATGTATTTTGAACTTGATTTATTGGAGCTGGTCTTGTATATAACAGTGAGATTTAATAATTTCAGCCTCACCTCCCCCAGCTTCCACCCCCACCAGCCCTCACGATGGACTTGAGCGGTGACCCACAGACCTCCGAGGCCCTGCACACCATGTTAATGAGCTGGTACATGACTGGTTACCACACTGGGTACTATCAGGGCCTTCGCCAAACACAATCCAGGAGACGGTGCAAGTAATGGATGAGGTACTATAGGAGTAATGTTTTGATCAGATGAATATTTTGATTTTTGTATAACTACAGACAAGCTAAAGGACAGTAACCCTTTCGCTGTGGCAAGTTGATCATTAGGCCTCATGTCGTGTGGCAGACTTTACAAGATTAAAACAAAACAAAAAATGTAATAAGCAGTTTTAACATTGATGATTATTAGGGTCCTCAATCCTAGTAAAGATAATATGTATTGACTTCAGCCGGATATGGAAACTTCTTTGGTGTTAACTAGTCTGTTTTGAAGAAGCCGCCTAACTGAGATATTGCTGCAATCAATATTTTTGGGGGTAACTTTGGTTTTATGTGAAGCACTGTTTTTACATAGGATAGTGTATTAATATACTATGATATAATATTATTGGCCTTACAAATTCATGCTCTTACTTGAACACAGTGTGGTGTCTGGTGGTCTGTACTATCACCAGTCAAGCTCATAGTAGTACAACAGACCCTCTTATTTATTGTATTTTTTATTTATTAAGGTGTCTGCAAAAAAAGTTGAGTACAGATATTTTCACAGAATTCTATATCTGCATCACAGAATATTGGCTATATCAGCCATAATGTTTTATTGTGCAACAAATTATATACAGTACAGTGGAGCCTTGATAACATGCATTCTTAAATTTGCTGGTACAGTAGAGTACCTCTATTTCTACTTCTTCTTTAAAATTTTGTGGTCAAATATTCATCATTTACAGCTAAGCCCCAACTGCTGCAGTGTTTATTTACATAAGAAACCATGAAAGTTGTGGAAATATCATCTCATTGCTCCAATTTGCCTTGTAATTAAAAATAATATAAATATCACTTCAGTGCTGCAATGTCACTTAGTTCTTGTACGTGCGGTTGTGTTGATAATCGACCTCACCTCACTATTTTTTGGTGATAACGTTAGAATACAGGAGATCCCCAGGTTACGTACGTCCGACTTATGAACATCCGCCTATACAGACAAGGTTCCATAAAGTTAAACTTTAAATTTATAGTATTTTATTTTCCTGATTTTTTTTTCTCTCGTACTGTATTTTGTCATTTTTCTTCTTTTATCTTAAATTAATTAATTTTAGATGAATATAAAATACTTAGGTTATGATAAAGTGGGATTCTGAACGGTGCTCTCTAAGTACTACAGTATGCACAAAAGGTACTGTATGTACTGTAGTTTGACTCGAGTCCATTTTCAACTTAAGAACGTCCATATGAACAGAACTTGCACATAACCCGGGGACTGCCTGTATTGATCTTTCCTTGCCATAAGGAAAATTAACAATGTCTTACCGCTCCTGAATGACTTGTGTTCACAGAAAATACTGCCTGTAATTTACACATACTGTACTGTACTGTATTTTGATTCTCTCTGCAATTTTCATTTCATTATTGACCTTAACTTCTCCCATTGTTTTGTGACATTTTTCTTATAAGTTGTTGGTGGTACTGACATTGATAACTCTGTGACATTCATTCAGTTGTAGCTTAATTTGTTTATTTTGTTTATTCATACAGACTTTGAAAACTTGTAATGACTTTTGGAAATGGTTTGAATAAATATGAAATAAAAAACAGGTCAAATTATCTTTCAAGACCTAATTGTATCAGACATGAACTTGATGACAGAGGAAAAGTGACAGTACTGATGAAGAACATGTTATACAGAATACAGTAATACTGTACTGTACTGTATCTCCATAATCTGGAAAATTACATTAAATTTTTCCCCGTATCCGGGTTTGAGAGATATAATTCAGGCACATTTTCCGTAAATTCTGAGAAAATTTATCCTGTACGGAAAATTCTAGGGATAGGTGTCTTTTTTCTGTGCAATATCTGGAAAATCCTAGAAAATTACTGGGATTTTATTTATTTTTTCCAGTTGTGAGAAATTCGTCTCATAACCCAGAAATCCCTCATTCCCGGAAGTGCCCTGCACCAATTGGTCCAGCTAACACGGATTTCACTGTACGTATTTTTGAAGATCATGTAGAATGAGATTAATTGCCTACAGATGAAAATGCCAAGTATTCAGGCAGTCTGTTAAATGTTTGTGATTTTCAACATGAATTGAGGTGTTGTGAATTGTGCTATGCCTCATCTTACAGTCTTAACAGAGTGACCATAATGTGAACAACAATGCACGAGGAGAAATCCACAATGGCAGATAATTGTCGTTAAAACTGTTTGCAATAAACATTTTGTCTGCCAGTGATAACTTGGAGTAGCTGTTTTAGGGCTGTGGCAATAAGTGAAGCCCAAAGACTGATGTTTGCCTTAAGTCAGTGACCATCTGTACTGGATTGCCAAGACTACCGACTTGCCACACACACAGGGCTCAACTGGGAGGAATATAGCACTCTGTACTGTATAGTGGTTCACACCCATATTGAACTGATGAGTGGTAAGTACCATCACATTCACATAACACTGGCCAGCTAATGTCTTCTGTAGCTGGTACTGTATTTGAAGAGTGTGAGGACAGAAAAGTGGTAGAACCTGAATAATGGCATTAAGAATGATTCTGTAGATTTTAATCATGCAGGCTCTTTTTTCACCCATGTTGCAGGCTGGCCAAAAACAACAGACACTTAACCCATTCAATGTCATTCACTCACGCTTGTTGCTGTAATACACATGATTCTATGTGAAGTTAGAAAAACTGCTTTTTACTGTACAATATAATATTTTTTATATGTGACAAAATATATTTTATGAAGACAATTTCAAACTCCTTGGGGAAAAAAACTCTGGTGGCTGTACAGGTACAAATATTTGGAGTTCTTTACAGACTCATCACAGTCTGTATAGAAAGTGTTATGTCACATCTCACCAAATATATAATTATAGACAGTTAATATCTCCATTAACCGGAATCCTTCAAACCTGGAACTCTCCATTAGCCGGAACTGAAATTTGCTCAGAAATTTCCAGAAAATTCCCTAAATTCCAGGTTTGGGAACAAATTTTGAGTTTAAAAATCAAGGGGGCGAGGCTTATCCCCTGCTTTTGTCCCAGCCTCCTCACATCCTGTGGGGTTGATGGCATCTTCAGAACCTCTGTACAAATATTCTTAAACTGCATCTTATCGTGTGTTACCTTACTCTCAGTTCCCTCTGCCTGGCTCTCAGGGATTCCAAAAACTATTACATTGTTCCTGCGCTGGAAACGTTTCCGTTGTTCCTCCTCTCCCCTAACTGTAGGTTCGTTAATTATCATTTCTTCGACACTTCTTCAGAGTCCCTAGCTGCTGTAGAACCTGTTCTAATCCTGCATTACTCTCCACCTCCCGTGGCCCTGCTAATGCCTCAGCATAACTCCTCTTAGCAACCACCTCCATTCTATCGGCTACTTCCTCAGTCTTAGCAAGGATATCTTTCCCAACTTGCTCTAGTTTGGCAACCAGCACAACTCCAGCTTCATCTATTTTCATCCTTAGGGAACTCGTTCCCCTATGGCTTGCAATCACCTCTTTCACCTTGACTATGCAGTTAGGGCAATACCAGCAACAGCTTCATGCTTTACGGCAGTTTGCAACATCCCTAAACACTGCATTGGTCAGGCCTGTATCATTTATATCTGTCGCCCCCCCGCAGTAATCACATGTACTCTTCATGGTTGTTGTTGTGGGGGGGGGGGGGGTGCAGACTGTATAGATCTACACCTATTTACAAATAAAGAGAGAAAAAAACCAGTACTTAGCTGTCCTCTGCTGGTGTTAACCTCCCCAGTTGCCTTTAGAGTTGTCTTATGTTTTCTTCTTTTTTTTCAGTTCACTTCGGCTATTTGTCGGTACAGTATTTATGTGCTATTTCTATGTACACTGCATTTTGTTATGAATAATGGATTTTATATGCCCACTCAGTCCTTTATAAACACAGAAAAAGAAAAGAAAACTTTCTTTGGGGCAGTAACAGAATGCCCTATAGGATAGCCAAGCTTGTTGATTTTTTTAATTTTTTTATTTTAACTTATTTCCTTATACAGTACTGTACTTTCTTTTCCCGTTCTCATCAATGACTATACCTCTTTGTGCTATCGCTGTGCACACTATCTCCCTGTGAATGGTGTATTGTAGACACAGTTTCAGTCCTTGAGAAAGCTCACAAACAATATAAAATTAAAAGTCTCTGTGGCACCTATAACCCGACTTGGTTTCAGCTGGCAGTGGTGCCTTACCAGCTTGCTTGCCAATTTGTATTCACTTTAAGTTATTTATAACCTCTTCTGCAGTCACTGATGACACTATGAACTGATTTAACTAAAGGCACAGTGCTACACTCCCTACTGTATGTATTGTTTCCAAATAACCAAGTATTCCAGTATATTTTGTTTTGAGGTCTTTTGTGTAAGCTCTGAATTGTTTTTCACTCAATTTATAGGTAGGTATTCTGGATAACCTCCACTAGTTCCTGGTCTGCAATCTCTTCGGTGTCCAAAACCACCAAGTCCTTGCTCTCCTCTTCAAAGGGGTTGCCCAGATCTTCAATCACACAGATGAGTGATTCGACATCTTTCATGAAGTCCGTTTGTACACTTTGTATTTGGTCATGGTGACACATCTTCATTTGTGTTCTGATGTTCGTTTGCTTGTCGTCAAACTCTACAATTAACCGAGCAACCTAAGGGCCAGCAACCATTCACCGTTGAAGGGCATTTGGATTGCTGTGAGACCTACTGTGCCTCTTATCACCCTTGACACAGGCATTGTTCTGCTCATGTGCTTGATCGTTGGCTATGGATGAGAACATACGTTTAGTCTTCTGAATTGTGAAATTACAAACAGAAATTTCCTTGGTAACCTTTGAGTGTCTAGTTGAAAGCTCACCCATATCTCGTGAGATGAACTGGTATGTAGCAGGCATAGTTTATGGTCAAGAGTGAAAAACCATGGGGCGACCTCTATCAAGGTATGCATTGAACTCTGTCTCTCGTATGGTGCGCACAGTCCCAGATGAAAGTTCTCACTGTAGTCCAGGTGCATAGTGTAAAGTCAGCCCACCCGCACTGGACAATGGGTCCGCACACACACACTCACATGAGCACCTTCGCAGTTCAACACTCAAGCTCTGATACTATTATTTCTCAATAAGGTCTAGGGAAGGGTATCATTGTTTGGGTAATAAATTCATGACACAATTTACTCAATCGAGTTTTACATTATTTGATAATCATGACATAGTGCAGTGTGTGTTTTGGTGGCTGGAGTTTGCAACAATATCAGAATCCTCCAAGCTGTATTGTCCCTCAGAATGGTGGCCAGAAAACTAAACATGAATGTGAGGAACAATTTGGTTCATAAGAGAATGCTTGATCATCCTCCGTGATAATGGCCTTTATCATAGGGTCTACTGCCTGCAACCTTGGCTTGATCCCTACAATGGTTGACATGATGGGAGTATGACTGACCTATGAGTTACAAAATTAATATAAGAGTGTCACAAGAAGAAGTAGGTCACAACACTGATTGATTAGCATTTGATGGAAAAATAAGATAGAAGTAGCATGACCACATTTTATTATTGAAGTACATAGTTATACTCATATAGGTAACCATAAATTTGGCCTACTTAATATTATAAACCGTACCCTCAATATCTTTGTAGATAAATTTTTGGTAAAAAATAAAATAATGATTCAATTTATTCTTTAGATTACATAAATTATGCATAACACATATCATCAAAATAATAAATCTGTAGCTAGTCCAACTGCCCTGTAGCTTGTTTGGCATGGATGCCACAAGGTCATGCACCAGCTCTGTAGTATTCCCACGTGTTGACCATGTATGCCCATACTTGCTCTCAGGGGTGACTCTAGGAATATCAAAAGGGAAGAGAGGAAGCAGGGCTCCATGGTTGATGGTAAGATTCTGCTGGATCTGTCAACTGGCTTTCATGGAATGCAAGCCAGGAAATATTGACCATTTTTTCTTTGGTGCCCTCAATCACCTGTTGTGTGCTCTCCAACCAGCAGTATTCTGACTAATGTTTCACGTTTTCCTTTTTGAGCATTGTGACCCCACTGGCTGCTTGATGCTGGTGGCAGTAGTGGAGTAGTGAGGCAAAAAACTGTTTTTGAAAAACTAGAACCACCAACATTCATGGTCCGTGAGGGTTATACATTTGTATCCTGCATTTGCATACCTAGTACTTGTATCCAATTGTTTAATTTGCAAAATACCGTACTTAATTTGCTGTACTTCTTGGATTGATCATACCATTCAGTATATCATGCTAAAGAAAAGATGACTCCTAAAAGTTGTAGGACTATGACTTTGCTTACTGGGCCCCTTAGACTTCAGTGCATTTAGAAATCAATGGTTCTGCTGGTGGCCATTTTGTTCTTTGGCAATATGGCCATCAGGTTGAAAATATGTAATGGCCCAATATCCAAATGTTCAGAATGTTTTGGACTGAGCTTGTGCCAAATGTGGTACTTTTATCATAAAATGAACAATTTGTCTCATATTTGGAACTTAGCTGCTACCCTATTATGTTCTTCCTGCATGATTATTGGCAAGCTTGAAATTTTGTCCCCTCTTGTTGGTGGTGTGTGATATCACAACAGTACTTGAATTGTTTTCTTTGAAAACAGAGAAGTTAATATAAAATTCCAGGACCAGTAACCAGCCAGTCTGTCCAGCACCATCCATAGTAGCTACCTACTGCTACTCTTTCTACTCTTCACCAGCCTGCCTACCACTGCATCCAACTTGCTTTATAACCAGCCGTCAATTTGCCCACTGACAACGTCTCCACTCACTCCACCAACCTGCCTGCCCAGTGTTCACCATCCCAACCAACCAAATAGCCACTAGTTTACCCACCACCAACATTTCACTCCACAAAACAGCCTCCAAGTTGACTTGCCACCAACCAGCTTGCCTGCTGCTATTATCACCAAAAAACACCCGCCGCCATCATCATATCTTGCTTCATTACCCCCCCCCTCCTCCCAAATTCCTTAGTAATCCTCGGTACAAGTAAAATAAATGGATTCTCTCCGGTAACATAAACAATTAAGAAGACCCAGATGCAAGGCAAGACAGTAGATGCTTCAGCTCCACACACCCATTTAAGGTTTCATCCTCTGTCTGAAGGTTCTCTCTACCAGTCCTTCTAGACTATATACAGGTGTCTCTAGGGACCACACTCTTTGGTTGAGGCAATATTGGTATAGTATTTCTGTTTTTTATCAGCATAGCTTACCTTTAGTGTTCTGATGTAGCGGAAAAAAGCTTTTAATATGGTAAAGTATGATAAACTTAGAGATTTTGGAAATAATAGGCATTAATGAAGGAGATTATAAAATTTTAAAGAATCTTTACTGGCAACAGGAGGCTGCAGTGTTAGTAAATAATGAACTTAATACAGTAATTGGTTCACAATTAGACAGGGAGTGAGACAAGGCTGTGTTCTATCTCCAACATTGTGTAGGGAACCTAAGTCAAGATTGTTATAGTATAATGTATAATTATTGTACAGCACTTTATTACATACCGGTAAGCATAATTTGAAAATCACAATATAGTATTACCAAATTAATATCAGTTACAAGTGAAAAATTTATGTACAGTATGTTCAAATATAAAATACTAATTATTTTTGTTTAATTTCTACAGTTTTTTAAAGTATTTTAAAATAGAAACTGGGCCACCTGCATTTCTTGCGTTACTTAATAATGTTCCCTTAGGTTGTGGCGAGGCTGGTGCTTCCTTCAAACATTTTTGCTCCTGAATAATTTCATCTTGAATATATTTTGGAAGAGCACTAAAAACAGTTAGATCTATTCCTTCACCTGGTAAGTGTGCCTCTACTTTCTTCTCATCACTTAGTTTTGGGGTCAAACCCTCTACAACACTATAGCTACAGGAAGATTCACTAGCTTTTAAATCTTCATGGGTATTACATTCACTATTTGAGTCCTGTACAGAAGCACTTGAATGTACTTGCTCGTCTTTAATACTTTGTTTATGGAAGCTTACACTAACTTGAGGTTTAAAATAATTTTTAATTGTTTTGCTATTAACAGAATTAGATTTTCTATGATTGGTTTGTTTAGGTTTCAACACTTTCCCTTGTTTTACAACTTTAGGATTTTGTTTATTTTCAGAAGCAAGAAGGATTTCCTGTTGTAGTTCACCAGGAAGTGCACTAAACACTTCTCTGTCAATACCATTGGGTAACCTGATGCATGCACTCTTTTCTGAGCAACTTCTATCATCACTAACACACATTTTTATCTCAGGAGATATTAATTCTTTCCTAGTTTCACTAGCATTCTCAATTACCTCCTCAACCTCTTTATCACCTTTATAGTTATCAAGCTCTTCCAAGTTTATATGAGTACCTAACAAAGCTGGGTTCTCATAGATATCCTTAAAATTTTCTTCAATACAATCTTCATCTGAGCTGAATCTACTGCTGTTTTCTTCACTACTGACCATACTTGACTCTGCTGTAAAACTTTCTAAAACTTTCCTGTTGGTCGGCGAGTGATGAAATTTGGTACGTTTAGTAACGTTTGAGTCTTTACATTCTGAGTTTTGGTCATCTGTTTGTTGTCGAGTACGTTTTGAAAAAAAATTACTGATCGCTTGTGCATCCTGTGCTCTCTCAATAAATTTGTTGAAACCAACACCAACAAGAGTTAGGTGAAAATCTTTTTTTGTGTCAACCATTTTATGAAACAATCCCATGATCATATTCATCAAATAGGATTTTGTATCTTCATTTACACCTTTAACACCCATTGTAAAGACTGATGATGACACTGGAACTTGTTTGGTTTCTCTGTGTCCAAATCTTTTAACTCTATCAAATTTACGAACTGATACCTTAAGTGAAGCTGGAATGCGACCATCATCTGCAAGAAGCTTCAGAAGCCTCTCCAGCAATGTGTAATACTTAACTCTAACTGCTGTAATACAAGTTATTTTACGAAAAGCATCTTCTAGCCCAATACTCTGAGGACGTCCACTTTTCCTTACTGGAGTTTTGTCAATTCCAAAACTTAAATCTTTTAACTTCTGACTTGTTTCTTGGTCAAATTTTGTCATAAGTAACTTAAGTACAGAATTCTGAAGTTGTTGTACAGTTGATATTCCCAGGTCCTCAAGTGCTTTGTATGTAACACTTCCAATACCTGGTATACTCCTGGTTAAGTTTAGAGATTTCATCATTTCATGAACTTGCCAAGGAAATAAAACTGTCTGTTGATTTGGTTTGTGATATCCAGAAACAAGCTTGGCAAGAAGTTTATTATGGGCTACACCAGCACAACAAGTGATGCCTGTTGTCTCATATATCTGCTGCCGCAGTTCTTTGGCTATGTGGGTGCCGGCAACTAACCTTGTATAACACCCACACCCACAGGGGTCGCTATGATGCACCTGGTTATCATCTTTATCACCAAACACATGACCTTCAATTTCAGAATTATTCAAGTAATCTCCTATAATATCTGTTACATCAATGAAATTTTCATCCAAACCGAGCCTTTCCACATGAGGTGTAAATGTCTGGGCAACAGCAGAGATCTCTGAGGAAAACTGTCGATAGTGAGTAAGATCTGAACCATCGACTAAAACCAAACTGGGTAAAATCTCTAAAGCATCTTTCAACCACATACTCTTCTTGACTCCAAGAGACCGAGCTACATAGTTACAGGTCACCATCAAGTTCTTCTGCTTAATCCCAAGAGGCTTGTCACGGAGGCCTGGGTCACGAACCATCTCTACCTGGGCATAGAAACAGTCAACATCCACATGTAGAATAGTTCTCTGGTGGTGATCTGGAATGAGTGCCCACTCATCCTCTTGCTCACCATGGGACTCCTCACGTGTCTGAAAAGTAAAAGAAATTATAGTATCATAGACTAAGCTGTACTGGTTACAAGATGATACTGCTAAGCTGACAATACCTCTAGCAGTATGTTCTTCAGGCAGATGCGAAAAAAAAATCTAAAAACTAAATGTAAAGTGTAGCCAATGTACCAAGAGTGGACAGGGCTTTGAAGTAGAGGGAAAATGTGGGGGTAAAATACTAAAAAGAACACCAAACAAACCTTTGAAAACCTAACATAACTTAACAAAAAAAGGTTAAAAATGACTTCGAGTTCATGGATCCCCCCGTCATCTGAACACTGAAAACTAGTACTCCAACACATAACACCAAAAACAAGAATAAGGTAAGTGCTTTATAGTTTGGTGTTCTTCAAAGCTCTGTCCACTGTTGGTAAATGGGGAGGTCGTATCATTTAAAAATACTTGAACAATATAAATTTATGTAAGAAATGCCATAGAAGAAAATTTGGTCTTAACTAAAAAAGAATCCTGGTGATAATGGTCAAAAAACACAAAATACCTACTGGGATAAAAACAAATATTAACTCATCTGATAGCTAAGTTAACTCCTAAGTACAGAACTAAACATAGAATAAAATTATATTTAGGATAAAAAAAAATATCTCGAGTCGATGGTTAATATGTATATACCACCTGATGATCACTGTAAACATTAATCATGGTACGCTAAGTTTTAAAAGGAAATTTAAACAACTATGGGGTGTTCCTCTTGTATATTCTCCATTTTATACCTTCAATTATTATGTAGACAAATAAAATAGCTACCTGATTAGTGTGCGTGTCCTCTCAGCTCTTTAGCCCGCAGACGTTTCTCTTTTCGTTCGAGGTATCTGTCGACTCTATTTTCCTTTTTCAGTTGTTCAAATTGGGCGGCTTTAAGTAAGAGCTTCTGTTCATTTTTATAAAAGTGTTTTGGCTTCTTCCCTTGCCTGAGAGCCTCCATCTGTTCTCTTCGATGGTTTCTCGTTACCTCGTTCTCCAAATTCCGTCTTTCTTTCTCACGTAATTGATTCTCCATACGTTGAATTACGGACTTGATCTTCTTCTTCTTGACGGGATCCTCTTCATTCTTCAATTCCTTCTTTAACATCTCCTTCTCTTTCTTCCTTCTATTTGAGAGGAAACCATAGTTACCTTGCCACACATTAAGGTTTAATTTTCCAGATAGATCGTCAAATCTTGGATCACGGGTTATCTTTATTTTTCCCTTCTGTCCGGCATCGTTCGAGGTCATACGTGGAGCTGCTCTACGCATCATGGGCACCTCCCTGGGGCGGTTCTTATTGGCACGATTGAATACTTCATCTCCATTATCCTCTGAAGCTTTTGTGTCCTGATTATATATAAAAGGACCTCCTGAAACCACCTTCTTCCTGAAAGCTTTAGTCCCTATCTTCTCTTGAAGTTTTAAAAGTTCCTCCATGGTCATGTTACCAGTGTCTACTTCATCATTATTCTTCTCGTTGACTGAATCACTCTCATCAATTAGGTCAGAGTCATTATCACTCTCTGAAGGGAAATATAAGTGTGAGTTACCACCCTCAACTGCCATGGCTAGTTAACCCTTAAATCCTTATCACGGGACCAAGGACAAGCTCGAAAATTCTTGACCTTAACACTTGAACAATCTAGAATAAAAATTAACAACCTGAGTGTAGTTAGTTCAATTAAAACGATATAAAAGAGAGATAAGTAGGAGAGACACAAAGACACGTGTTGTCCCCCCTCAGTACACACAGACACCAGCTGATGGTCCATAATAAACACCTTCTTATCATAAACCATTAATAACCTCATAATAACATCCTATAATACATTAAAATATAATAAAAATAACTTAATTTCTACCATATCTTACCTGCTGTGAATCCATGGTATACTAAACCATGTAATTTTTTTAGTCTAATAAAACAAATACGACATTATATTTCTGTTATAATTTATATTTTATCTCAAATTATCTTAATAAAAAAAGAAATATAACATACGAATAGGATTTTAGATTAAATTAATTATTTTTTATTTAATAGAGCCTGTGGTTCTCAGAATAAATATCCCTTTATGTACTTTTAACCTATTTATACATATTATTTCTCATTAAAAATATTATAATTAAAAAGCCTTCATTATAATAAACCCTAATAACATTAAATCTCAATTATTTTCTATGTAATTTATTTGAATATTTTAGGTGTGGTAGAGGAGACGTTAACACCATGGAGGGTAGACTGAGTTTTGCTGGACTCTCTAATAAATGGGATACAGCACAGGATGGTGAGAGAGATTATCAATTATTAGTGTTTAAAAGGATAGAGGAAGACTTATTTTATCATTTAATGGGTATAATATTCCTGGTGGTTAATTCTTTATTTAAAAATTTTGATGATAATTGTACCCCCATGTTATTTTTAACTGGTAATTATTCACCTAGAGTAGTAATTTAAGGATATATTATCATTAAAATGTAGTAAATGTTTTATTACTATATGTAAAGTTATAACTATCTTTAGATGTGGATATTAAGGCTAAGAACATATTGTTGGGTTAATAGTTACTGAGGTACTGGTTTTTGGGTGTTAATTATATGTTTTCTCGATGTTATTTGATAAGTTGTGAAGGGATTTGATATTTATTTATGCAGGAAATTACTAGTTTTTGAGATCACCCCCTCTCTCATCCCCCTCACCTGCCCCCCCCAAACTATAATATGGGGGGGAGGGGTTTTTTTTTGGGGGGGGGAGAAAATTAGGTAATTATATAGGACTAACCCACGAGAGAAATTGATTTAAAACAATTATAAAACGCTACTTAACATTTGTGGGTATGAAGAACAGACCTGACCTAACCTAACCTACCTAACCTTACTCAGACCCCCGGTAGGCCTAGCTTAAACTAACCTAAATGTTTCAGTAGTTTAAAACTTTGGGGCGCGCCATATCCGTAGGTACAATACCTTAGTAAGAAGAGGAAGGAACCAGGGAGACGTAAGAATTGGATAGAATGATCGTCTTTCTCGTAAAACTCGGCAATAAATTTAAAATAATCGTAGGAGCACAAATAACAACCAACCTCCACCACGGCCATTGTGAGACTGGTCAATGAAATTACCCAGGCTGCTTCCTTTGAAAAAAACTCAAATGTGATTGGTTGAAAAAATTTGCGTGATCATATCAATACATCATTGGTCACGACTGGATGACGTCAGTCCGTATCGTGCATGCTTGAAGAGTAGATAACATCTCCTCAGAGACGAAGACATGGCGACACTTGTGACTGAGCGAATTTCATAATATTGAAAAATTAATATCTCGGTTAACCTTAATTTCCGGCAGAAGTATCATAGAAGAAAAAGGTCTTAGAATTGTCTAAACATTACGAAATACATATTAATAACAGCGAGAGAAAGACCGGTGCATAAAGAAAAATTCACCCATGTTTGTGTTCAGTCCTTCAATTGTTTTGGTTAGTATTGATGACTGACCCACGGACACATTATTTGGGTAAAATTTCACTTGTTGCCACTTTTTCAAATCCAAGTTGAAAGTATGTTTTTCCGATGGTTTTTGATGTGTTATGAACGAATTTGACCTTCATTTCTGGCACAAATCAATAGTTTCTGAGATAAGCCCCCCTCCCATCTCAGAATCTAGAGATTTTCTATGAAAATCGAGTTAAAGAGTTTTCAAAACACATCGAAAACCATCGGAAGAATAAACCCTAACCTAACCTTCATCAATGATTACCCCCAGAAGGTGTATGCAGCATGGTAAGGGGTAGCATAGATATTTAACTGGTGTAAATTTGCTCCACAGTTAAAGAGGCAGCAGAAGCTATTCGCAATTGCAAGGATCTACGATGTTTAAAATTAGAAGCGAACACCCTCGGTGTGGAAGCGGCAAAAGTCATGGGAGATGCTTTGGCCGTTCACCCAGAGTTTGAACGAGCACACTGGAAAGATCTCTTCACTGGGAGATTGAAAACTGAGATTCCAGATGCACTGGTGAGTGACAATAACTCTTTCAAAGGTTTAGTTTGTTGTGTGGATGTTGTATACTCAAAACAATTGTGACACTTTTTGGCTGGATTGCATTCTCCACATCTTGTAAGCTGTCATTTAAATTAGTTGTCCATATATCTCCTTGACTGATTTGAAGACCAAGGAGGAGTTAGAAGGATGGGTTTAAGATGGATGAAAAATGTAATGTTAGGCCTAATTATCTCTAAACTATGACTAACAGCAAGGCACGGAGGGTAAACAACTGGTTGAGACGGCAGGGCAGTAAACACTGAGTACAGTACTGTACTGTTTGATCAGCTTCTTGTGGTGTATGTTTCATCGTTATTAGTATAAAATATTAAATAATAAAAAAAATACAATACTGTACTCTATAATTTGTAATTGGACTTCAAAATAATAGAGACTGAGATGGACTGCTGCAGGTGTGTGTGTGTGTGTTGGTGCATGTGTGTGTGAGATGCAGTATGCGCTCATCTTCTGCTCTCTTCATGGGAGGATTACATCACCATTCTTTGAATCATTTTACCTAAAATCTTAGCATTTTTCTGTGGCTGAATGTGTGTTGAACTTAAAGCTAACCAATCACAGTGTAGCATTTTTGGCAAGTCCATTCTAAGAGTGGGGGAATAAACTGCTCGCTCACTGGTCTGAGAGGAAGAAAGAGGCCTCAAAGGAATGTTCGCTGGCAGCGATTTTAAATGACAAATATTTAAGGGTTTCTGTATAGATATGTAAATACCAAGATATGTGAACACGCCTGATGCCAAGACTCTGTTACCATTCATTGTACCATTTATTCACATGTCTGTATTACTACATATTATTATAGCATGTCTGATACCTATGCTTATGTCTAATGCCTATGTTCACTTACTGTGTCCCGATGTACTATGTCTGTACCGCGCTAGTCAAGTAACTAGAGGATCTCATTTATTGTCCTAAGTAATGTCTAGCAACTCTCCTTGCCTAGCTAGCTAACTTCCCTCAGATCGGCTTCGGCCTGGCTACGACACGGAGTCCCTTGTGCTTGCTTCTGTATCGGTCGGCTATCCTGCCGAGTCTTGTACTACTTATTGAATATATCTACTGCTCGTGCCCTGGAGTTTCAAGAACCTTGTCTAGGATTACATCCCACCACAGTTTCGACAAATGATTCTGGTCCAGAAAGAGTCCGGACTTTTGAGGGTTTACTGTATATACTGCATATATATATATATATATATATACAGTACAGTATATACAGTACTCGTACATTGCATCCAGCTCACACATTATCATATGGTTTCAGCGCCACCTCTTCTCTGGATTGATGCGGGCAGGAGCAAAGTTAAAGGAACTGGACTTGAGTGACAATGCCTTGGGACCTGTTGGTGTGGAGGGCATGGTGGAGTTTATGAGCTCTCCGGTCTGTTACTCCCTTGAGGTGAGTCAAAACTTTATTTGGTTTTTGTTTAATGAAATTCATTCATTATTAATCTTGGTAAAATTAGGAAAAAGTTGAATAATTCATAATGGAATGATACTTGTTAGAAATAGTGAGAATGCCTTTCTGAACAACATATCAAACATCTTCACCGATCCGAGGTGAGCTTTTGTTGCCATCTTGAAAAAATGGCTTCCATTTGCCGTTGTTCATGTTTTACTCATTAACAATTGATTTTTAAGAGATGACATTAAATAAAATAAAAGAGCATAAAATTCTGCATTTTTTGGTATATTCAGTTAATGAGTTAAACATGAAAAACCGTGAACAGCTCACCTCGGATTGATCAGGCTGTTTAGTATGTTGTGTAGGAATGTATTCCCAATAATTCTATCAAGTATCATTTCATTATGAATTAGTTCAACATTTGGCATGAAAATTTTTTTAATTTCCCTTGACTATATTTTTTAGATGCAGGAAAGAACTAGTTACTGTACATAGCTATATAGTATGGAGTTAAAAACAAGTACAGTAAATACTATCCCCTCACTTTAGTTTGAGTGTCAAGAGGTTTGATTTTGTCTGTGCATGCCTTCATCTGTCTACCTGGATCTGTGGACGCATTATTGAAATACCGAGTGACTGGCCATAGACTAAATTTGAGTGAGAGATTAGATACATCTCTTCAACTTTTTTATGGTCATGAATTAACGATCATTTATTACAATACTACTAAGTGTTTTTGTTCATAATACAGTACTTCCTGAAGTTTGGGTGAATGGATATTGGTTTTATTGATTTATCCTGATATGTCTATCTATCCAGAGTTTGTTTACAAAAATATATCATTACTGGTGTTGGGATATTGACCAAATTTGCACCACATACACCATCTGTTAACTTCTACTGATTCATTTTTAGATATAAGGAATCATTGAGTCTTAGATGACCGGATTAGATCATCATGCTGTTTCATTCAATTGGCATTTTTTTTATATACTTTTTCCTTAGTTCTTGGACGGACATTTTCCATTCCAGTATGGGCTCACGTATTTTGTCGACATATGTCTTTTTTTATGTGTTTATCGTACAGGTTCTTTTTGACTACTGAGATTGGTATTGTTGAATCACACACAGCACAATACCACTAGACTTTACATGCCAGGAGATTGGGAATGATTTATTGTGATGTTTGTACAGTAATAGATGTGATCAAGTCCAACTAGAATTTGGTATTTTTTAAACCTGTTTCTGTGATATTTATTATTAATCTTTTGTGTTTTATCAGCTGAGCAACACTTATGTACTTCCACAGGAAATTCGTCTAAACAACAACGGTCTTGGTATAAAAGGTGGAACGATGCTGGCGCAGTCATTAATGAAGCTTGTAGAAAATGCCAAGGCAGCTGGAGAGCCTCTTAAACTAAAGGTACGCTGCAACATATATATTTAACCATTCTGAAGGGTGCTGAGCTGTGTGGCTTTTGAAGTGATTAACTTTTTAGCTATTTAATAATTGTTTGGGATGATACTAAAGAAGATTAAGTACATTACAGGTATATTCTGTTGTGTTTTAAGTACTGTAGAGGCATGATTTTCTTTGTTCCTCTTAACTTGCGGAAACCTAAACAGTATTTGTACCTAAATCTGTACTGTATTGTCTTACACACACACATACACACACATATATATATATATATATATATATATATATATATATATATATATATATATACTTTAATGGACAATATTTTATGGATTTGGCATCCTGTGTATTGCCAGCTAGGCCGTGGGCTCATCACACTCGTCTTGCCCACCGTTTGTGTGTGGATGTTCAGGACATGTATGAATATGAACTATGTACAGTATATAGTGTATCATATACAGGGAAGAACTCTACTAACACTCAGAACTTCCTCCGCAGGTATTCATATCAGGACGCAACAGGTTAGAGATGGAAGGTGCACAAGTATTTGCTGAATTCTTCAAGGCTGTGGGGACCTTGGAGGAGGTTGCCATGCCCCAGAATGGTATCTTTCATAAAGGCATTGCAGCCTTGGCTTTAGCCTTCAGTGTAAATTCAAATCTCCGAATTATTAACCTCAATGATAAGTAAGTACTGTACCCTGTATAGAACAGAACAATTTTGTATACTTTTGTTCATAGTTTTTGTAGACCAGAATAATGGAAAGCAAACAGTGCATCAGTAACTGTTATGAGCACAGTTCATTGAATATTATGGTTACTGATTTAAGTCTTTTGCCTTAGGGATAAGAGACTCAAAAAGAAGGGCTGGGAAATTCCTATCAGTCGGACACCAACAGACAAAAGCTTGTTTTAGAGTACAGGTATCCCTCGAGATATGAAAGGATTAGGTTTAGTTGGAAAATAGTAACAAGGCAACTCACAGCCTGGCCAGATACCTCACATAATCTGCACACCTATTACTTAACACGTGAAAAAAGGAGACAAAGAGAATACTGTTTAACTTTGGTACATTACCTTATGGGAGGGCAGTCTGGGCTCACCGGTGGGCTGAGTAAGGGCCTACTTTACGCATCTCTTCCCAAGATGGCCGCACCAGCTGACTCCGGTGTGCGATTAGAATTTTTGCCGAGACCCAAATTCGTATAAGCGAGAGAAACTGTCATATCTCAAAAAGTGGTTTCAGTTTAGGAAATTTGCATAAACGAATTTTTTTACATAGAACATTCGTATCATGAGGGATACTTGAGGTATCCCTTTTTGTTGAGTGAATTTTCATATAGTGAGTAGAAGAACATGTGGGAAAAATGGGTTTGGTTCCCAATGACAAGAAAAACCCCAAATCACACCTCGAAAACATGAAATCAATTCCCAAACAACAACAAAACCTACCTCACTAATCATAAATTGTACACAACGACTGTTCTTTACTATCTATTAATAACCTTAATAAAATACTATACAGATGAAAATATGCAGCTAAAACCATTAAGGAAAACCTAAATCTAAGTTTAACACAGCTGCCATTAGCGGACACTGGTAACACTGTTCATAGTGTCAGCTGTTGTGGTGGTGGTCACGGCCAAGATGGGTTGGTGTCAGCGTCTTGCTATAAATTATGTTTCGGATTATAGCTAATTTCTCAAAAGCTTGGGTTTACACACGAGTATGTAAGGTAAATCGCCCAGTGAGCACATTACTCGTAAGTATCATCTAAGTAGCACCTAGTATTTGAGTAAGGAGATGTAGAGCAGAGAGTAAATCTGAGGGATTGAGAGAGAGAGCAAGTGACCAAGGCTTTATATGGGTCTGCTTCACGGGAAACTCGCAGATTGGTAACATCACATTTTTATACTCGATGTTGATTGGTTGATAGGTGTCGTCTTCTGTTGCTAGAGCCAATAATGCTGAGGGAGGGGAGAGAAGGATGCCAGGATCACCAGTGCCTGTGTTGGCACTGGTTTTCCCGCCAAAATGTGGTGGCGAGACGTGACATTATTAATTAAATTTTTTCGTAACCTCAAGGATTTTGCTGATAAGTCAAAGTTTGGGACTTTTTTTTTTTACTGCAAATGTGCAAATGTTTGTAAATGAAATTCTCATAAACCAGGGTATGTCTGTATTGCTCATTTACTACAGCCAGAATACAAATTTAGTGGAATGATTTTCTAGAATAAGTTTTTGCTGTGTACTTGAAGTAGCAGTCATATATCTGACACAATTACTTTCCTCCACAGCACATTTACTCCAAAAGGAGCACGAGTTATGGCAGAAAAACTGCACCACATGCAGAACCTGGAAGTTATAAACTTTGGCGACTGTCTTATTAAAACTGCTGGTGCCAAGTATATTGCGCATGCACTGGCTTCTGATCATAAAAAATTAAAGGTAATGTCATTAAGTAAAAGTCCATATACAGAATAACAGCTGCTGAAATTCCATGCACAGTTTTATCATATTCTGTGCCGTTACATTTTGCCATACTTTGTACAGGATATTTTTGTTGGTTGGTATATTGATTACTGGCAAGCAGCCTGAAGTGGATGGGTGTACAGAAAGAAGAGTCCTTAAATATATTGACAGTAACCTGCTTATTTTTTTTTTTTTTTTATATAGGAGCTGTACCTGGACAGCAATGAAATTGGACCTGAAGGTGGTCTTGCTATTGCCACTGCCATGACAAACAAAGAAGAACTTACTGTGCTTAATCTGGACTATAACCAGTTTGGTAAGTAATGACTAGTCTTAACTTATGACTATCACATCAGATTCTTATGTTGTGCCACATCTACTGTTTGTTGCCCCGTGAAATGATGACTCACAGTAATGTATTATTCTTATTATTATATTGAGTTCCTTATTTTTATGCACTTCAATCTGTAGTGAGAAAGGGTTTTTGATAATGAAAAGCAATCGGTGTATACTGTACTTCTGAGACCTGTGTAAATTTTCTTTTTTAATTTACTGTGTAGATAACATTACATAAACATTACAAAAATAAGATGGTCATTAATTATGATTTGTGGGCATCTGTTTCCAGGTGAGGAGGGAAGGGAGAGCCTTGTGTTTGTACTGCAGGAAATTGGCAACTTGGACTCTCTTGAAACTCTAGAAAATGATGAAGATCTTGAGTGCGATGAAAAGGATGATGAAGATGAGGATGACGATGATGATGATGACGACGACGACGACGATGACGACGACGACGATGACGACGACGATGATGATGATTGTGAAGAAGAGGAGGAGGATGAAGAGGAAGATATACAGGAGGTATCAGGTCCTGGGTTCAGCCCTCTTAGGCGAAAACAAGCAGTAGTAGCCCCTATTAAGGTGCGTCATTATTTGGAAAATGCATATCCTTATTTTGTTATTGTTGTTAATTTTATATTCTGTCTCTTTGATATACTGTATATTGTTTCTCTGTCTTTGATATTCTAAACCTATACTGTGTCCTTGACAAGATGAAGCCAGCATCTTAAACAGTACCCACATAGATATTAATACCTGGAGTTAAATGACAGTACAGGAAATGAGGCCCCCATCATCGTAAGGTTCACTCAGACCACTTGGGCGAAACCCGTTTTTTGTTGGAAAGCACTACTGTTTTCGGTGAAGCTCTATACAATGGTTGTTGATAAGATCTCCTTACTACACTGTAAATAAGGTTGAAAGCCCTTTGAAAATAGGGTAGGACATTGATTTGTGGCAGACAGGAAAGTTTGGGCTTGACTTTTGCTTCGTCGGGTGTTCTCTTCCTCTCGGTGAGTGAGTGAGAGGAGTGGCCGGCCCACAGCCTCCTCCTTCGTCTCGGCCAACGACAGAGAGCATTTGCTATCTCTGTCACGGCCCCTCCAGCCAATGAGCGCGGGTTCCCTCTCTCCCTTTCCCTCGGTACTCTTCTGTTATGGCAGGATCTACACTCTGATATCGATTAAAGTAAAAAAAAAGCCATAAGCGGGTGGGAGTTTTGTTGCTTCAAGTCAACATTGCAACAACCCAGTACATTACTTCATGATGCACTACCTACCATGTGCAAGTACAGTCCTTTAGCTTCAAAATGCATACAAAATTAATGCTGTATCTCAAAAAACAACAAAGTTATGCATGTTTGAAGTTGGAAAAACATTAAACGCGGTTTTCTAGGCTTTCAAATTTTTGTGTGAATAACCCATACGATGCGGGGTGCCTCAAATACAGTTACAGTACTTGTAATTTGAGGGTAATCCTTGTTTATTCTATACAGTAGCCACAAAGAACACCCTATACTGTAGAGTACATGTTTAAAAAAAAATGTGAAGGCTTGCAATTACCTTTATACTGTATATTGTGTTGTATTTTTTAACTCTGAAATCCAGGGGCTGAAGTTATAAAGCCAAGATAACTGCTTAGAAAACCTTGCTTGCATCAGGGAGTCTAAAAGTGTTGAATGGATAAAAACAAGTTTTGGGAGAGGTACAGTTCCTTTGTGGAGGTCAGGGGCCAGGTTCACAAACATGGCTGTCATGTTGACTCAACCTCATCATTATCTCGAGAAGATAAGGAGGTCGTGTGAACCTGGTAATGGGTGATTCACTAACGGTTCGTACAGGGACTGCAAGTAAGTTCAGTTTTCCACACATGAGAAGAACAATGGAGAGAGAAGTTTCAAAGAAAACGCTGCTTAATTTCTCCGGTGAGGAGATTTTCGTTATATATACTGTAGTTACTGATGTTGTGATCCTAGGAAAACCTTTGGTGCCTTTATTGGTAATATGAGTACAGCTCCTCCCCGACTTACGACCTACTCGACTTACGACCTGCCTCAGTCATACCAAAATTTTGTCAAATTACGTATTTTCGAGTCCCAACGTCAGTGATTGCGCTGTGTACTGACAAAATTTTCGTTTATAATTCACTTTAAAATGGCTGGCAAGCTTAAAAGTGAGAGTTTTGTGGTGCTGAGAAGAAAAAGAGACACCCATTTTAGATTTTCTATGTACAGTATTATTTAAGCATTTTTGACTTACGACTATTTCGACTTACGACCTGGATTTGGGTCCCTAACCCCGTCATAAGTTGGGGAGTAGCTGTACAGTCTATGGCACCAATTACATCAGGAAATACTTACTTTTCTGTACAGAGTAAATGTCACTTTATAATTATTGACACAGTTGATTGCTTTAAGCCAGCCAGTAATGTCATCAATTACCGGTACACTCTGGAAACTACCACTTGTAAAAAACCTCAAAACTATTAACACAGACATATGCATTGGGACTGCATGGGACCTCCTTGTCAGCCAACCAATATCTTACTGTAGTTGGTTACACAGCCAGAGTATATACCTATGTGTAGCAGTAGGCGGTCATCAATTCGTAGAGGGTCCAAAGGATCACTAAACACCCTTTCCTGCCAGGGTGCACAGTCATGGGCTAAAGCAATCATTATTTCTAGTGACTCTTGAATTACGTCTGGCAGCTTTGTGTGTTTTGGTATGGGTTGTATAGTAGGGAAAGCGGGAATTACGTTAGCTTATTTCCGTCTTACAGAAGCCTGCAGGTGCTTGGAGGCCACCATAGTGTTTAAGGTACAATAAGTTCAGTTATGAGTGCTATAAGCGGTTTCTGAATCACACTGTTCAGCTTTAAGGTTAGCCGAAGGAACAAAAAGTGTCCGTAAGTCATTAGTGAATCTGGCCCCAGGTATTCTGCTGTTATATAATGACTTGTTTGTGACTTATTATGATGACAGTTGTTTCTCCAATGTTTCTTAAACAGTGTACTGCAGCAGAGTTCTACAAACAGTCAACAGGAGGACGGTTGCTGGGGTTGGGAAATTCAGGTCCCTCACAGTTGGTGGAGGAAGCCAGAAGAATGGGAAATGGTTCAGATGAAGATTTTATATTTTACTGTTTTGGCATGTTCATGAGAGCTGCATCAATGGCAACTGCAAATAATGAAGAGGTGAGTAAGCATTGGGGTGAATTTCTTGTGGTGTTAATTTAATTGTTTGCTACTTTTTCTTAGCTTTGTGTAAAGTTTGTATTGCAACATTGATATACAGTAAACCCTCGATAACTCGGAAGATATGGGGCTCTAACCATTCCGAGTTATCAAATTTTTGGAGTTATCAATGCACTTTCGTCCCACCACAATACTGTATCCAACTTTTTGGCCAAAATAACCTACCATAATCATAAAACTTGCACAAAAGTTAACACTTACCAGCACTACAGGTGAAGGATGAGAATAATTCTAGCTTGTGATGCCATGTGGTAGGTGTCAGATGTGATGGGGGTTCACTGCACTACATTACTACAGGTTATCCGCTGTTTAGCGATCTTCAACTCACTGGAAAAAATTCAGGAGAGAAGTTGAAAAAATGGGGATTCTGTGCTCCAAGTGGGCATCTGTATGGGTGGGTGTGGGCATGATTAGAACATGACGGGCACTAGAGTAAAGGTAGAGACGGATTGGGTGGGTGGGTGGTAGAGGAGGATTGACGGCGAGGCACTGGTGGGAGGTACGTGGAGGTTGTGTGAGTGTGTGTGTGCCCTGTCTGCCTCTACCACCACCTTCATCTTACCGGATAGCACATGTCAATTGCCGATTCCCAAAAATTGCCTTGGTGAATAATATCTACATAACGGTGATATCTCCGTTAGCCGGAACAATTGGTGCAGAGCACTTCCAGGAATGAGAGATTTCTGGGTAACGAGACGATTCTCAAAGCCGGAAAAAAATCCCTCATCCCCGGAATATTCTGGGTACCGGGAAAATTTTCTCGGAATTTTCCAGAAATTGTGGCCCTCAGAAAATCATTCCCAAAGCCAGAATATTCAGGCTTTGGGAATGATTTTCTGAGCAAATTTCATTTTCGGCTTTCAGAAAGTTCCGTCTTTGAGGGATTCCGGCTCACGGAGATATTACGTTTACTTTCCTCTCTTTTTGTTCACGGTACAGTGCTGTTTGGTATAATGAGATGCAAGTATTTTACTTTTTCTCTTTTTGCTCATTTATTTCAATGTGATTTTTCTGGGTTTACTCCAGAGTGTGATCATGAAGTAAAGAAAACTGGCAATAATTTAAGTGTTGTTAAATATCAAAAGAGAGGTACAGAATCACCATATGTTACACCGTACTTTGTAATCAGAGAAGGCAATTATTATTCTTCATTTTGAAAATGTTTTGCTAAAATCATGCAGTAGTATTGCCTGTTGATTTTTTAATATATATTTTCATACAATATTTGTATGTACAGTATCTCTAACCATTTATTTATTTATTTTTATTTTTTCCAAGATTTTCACCCCACGTTTGCAGAACTTTTATTTTGTCAATAGTTCTTGTATTGTGTAACTGCTGTTGTATAAGAGTGTGAATTGCATAAAATATTAGATGCAAGTACAAAAAAAATGCCCATTAGGCTACTAATTACTATAGAAGATACCAGAAAACACTAATTCTGTTAAAGAAATATAAATAGTGTAAGGAATTGCTGATAATGTATTATATTTTATTGCTATTTTCTTGCCTTTTCTTATCTATTTATCCCTAATGAATAAATTGTTTTAAAGTGTGGTAGGTTATGCATAGTGTGTACCTTATCAGTGCAAGTCTTACATATCCCCCACACTGTCCTTCAGGTGTGGTCTTTCCCTTTGTATCATAGACTCTGTGTTTACTCTGCGTCTTCCTTTCCTCTTTAGTGGATGGTGGTTTCCATTCTTGTTAATTCTGTCCACATTGAGTGCCTTGATAACTCCCAAACCATCTCATTACCCTCTATCATAGGTCCTTCTAACTTGACATCTACACTGTGTTCCTACTCTGGAGTCATCCCTCAAAAATTCCATTTCCACGCCATAAATTTTTCACCTGTGTACTTGAGGATAAATGGGACAACACCTGTAGGTAAACTGAGTCTCACCTGTCCCTATCCATCTGAAATGCATGTTGGTCTTGGTAAACTTTATATGACATTCACACAAGTACCTCAAATAGCTTTTCTCTTTGCAGATATTTAACTCATTTCTTTACAGATGCCAACCTTCCATTTACCAGATACCAACCTTCCAGTTACCAGATACCAACCTTCCAGTTACCAGATTCCTACTTTCCAGTTACAGGATACAGTATATAATATATTTATCCCTTTGTAGATGTGTTTACTCTGTACTGTAATGTGTTCTGAAATTGTCTTTTTTCATAGTTTCAGAATCCTCCTCCATGCTCTTCTCATTTCCTCCACTTTTTACGCAGTTCATTTAAATTTGCCATCCCCTTCTTTCTATGTTGTCTTACCTAATTCTTTAATCAGATATTTGAGATTTTAGATGCTTCCATATTTCATCCATACAGAGCTATAGTTGTATTCCCTTTCACTTTCTCCCACAGGTGCAGGAAGCTGTCAAGAATACAACAGGACACCTAGCCAAAGCCATATTTACCATTGCACAAAATGGAGATATGTCATCCATTGCAACAAATAATCTTCTTGTCCATCTCGGTCTTATTAAGTGTGAGGTAATGTTCTCTCAACTTTCATAACAAACTTCGAACATAGGAATGCATGTTTTATGTCCATTAATGTGTCCACTAACACATTAACTTGAGCAAATGATTATGTTAATTAAGTTTGCTGTATACAGGTGCTATAGTAGATATATCACAAGCTATAATGTGAGTTTGATTATCAGTATTTTGTGTCATTATTGACTAGAATTATAACCACTAAGACCTAGTGTGGTTACCTTTAGTCACTACTGTACCTTGTTTCATAGACACTGCTCCTCTGAACTTCACACAGTTAAATACACAGGTTCTCACAATCAAACCAGAAGCCATCACGATTCACCTACTTTTCCACACTTTTCAATTCATGTAAAGAGGATATTTTTTCCTGCAAAAATAAGAAGTTATAAATTTACACTGGATCTTTGATGAAGAATGATATTAGGTTCCTGAAAACCTCGATCATTTGTGAATCTCTCTTGTCTCACTAAAGGTACCAGTGTAGAGAAAGATTCATTGTTAGAATATTTAGTTTGGATTAATACAGTACTAGCAAAAAAGAGTTTCCAATCTTTTGTAATGGTAGACCATGTTTTTATTTATTTATGATCATCTTTCTTTTAATGTGCACTTTTGTTACTCAGGATAAAGATTTCATGTTGGCGTGGGACTTGCAAGGATGTCTGATGATATTGACCAACCTTGTGGCCTTGCCCCTCTTCCCTGCCCAGACCAAGAGTGCTCTTCAACTCTTCCTCTCCAGGTAAACTTTGAATCTCACATTTTTGTTGGAATTAAGTAACATACATGAAGTATGACAACTTGGAGTATTACTTCACATTCCCTCTAAAAGAGTTGAGTCATAACTGAAGCTTTGTAATTAATTTTTTTTTGGTGTTAATCTTTTGTGTTATGAAAATACAGTGAATTGTTTCTGTGATTTATTTACCTTCATTTTGGGGTGGTTCTTAATTTGTGCAATTCTGTTTTTTGTTTTACAATTGGAGCTCAAGATTATGGGATGATTTATATTTGATGTGACATACTGCTGGGATTAGATGAGTCTCATTCCATCCTTGCAAGCTGCCACCCTGACACATGTTGGTTGCTGTTATTTGAATTTTACGTGAAAATTATTGGGAATTTTTTATATTTTTCTCTAATTCATCAACAATGTAAAATCAAAACAACCTGTATGTTTTATAAGCCTGTGGGCATTAAGTAGAAGATTGTACTGTATCCTCTTGAGTTGTCCTTTATACATTTCCTGCCTTAGTTTGAGAATAAAGGATAGCTTCATGTTCTCACTGAAACATTGACTTTCTATTATGGAATTAAATTTGACATTTTTCTTTCAGACCAAATTTCAGAATTGATGCGTGTTCTAAGGAGAAGCACATGTTGATGCGAGCTTTGTTTCAATAATATGGTGGGCTTAAGATGCTGAAGATGGAAGTGCTCACAAGACAAAGACAAATTTTTTATAGACTGTTTAGCAATATTTTTTTATATACATTTTTTTTTTTACTCTACCTGTCGAGTATGTTATTTTCCTCCGACTTTAAAATAATTTGTTCACCCTATGTTGACTGTGTATGGATGATATAAAACCTGACATGATTACAGCAGATACTAAATACTATGTCCAGCCTTATACTTCATGATGCTCTTCTGATTTAGTGAACTTCTTTTGTGTTTCATAGTTTTGTGTACAAGATGACTACTATGTGTGTGTTGTAGGGAACTGTGTGTGATATCATTTTAAGAGTTCATCAATTCTTGTGACCTTTTGTTTTACTCAATTCATTTACCACCACAGTGTTGGTTGACAAGAATGAAGAGTGACACACACATACATACACTCACCCTTTATTAACTGCCATTCATTCATTCTTTCTGATAATTTAAATTAACTTATATATTATAAACAAATGAAGTATTTTTACACATTGTGCCACAGTGTTTAGTGTAAGATTTTACAAGTCAGGCTTTTATAATCAAAACTTCAAAATTGTAAGCACAGGATATAACCTAAGTACTGTATCATGTTAGATTTTAAGTCCTATGAGAGGGTGTTGGTGGAAGTGTCATAAAGTAACCAAGTACCTGTGCCTGTTAGATCAAGTGTATGCGATGCCAATCTATTTTCATCGCTGTCTTGTACTCTATAAAATTCTGTTGTTAACACCTTTCTTTGCTACTTTTGTTAACACCTTTCTTTACTTTCTGCCCTCCACATTTACAAGCTATGACACTTACTGGTCAGACTCAGACTATCATGGATTACCTCCTTTACTCACTGTCAATCATTCCCTCTACCTGCTCTGCTTCTCATCCACACACAGCTCCAAAACATCAGTGTGGTTCATCCCAGTTGTGGAATTTCAGTGTTGAAGTTGCTGAATGCTTTTTCTTCTATTAGGATGATGATTTTTTTTCAATGAGTTTGTAATTTTTTCATTAATTTACATTTTCTTGTGACTTCAGCAGCTATGAAGGTTAGAAAATTAGATACTGTACAAAATTATCGAGACAACAGCTTTTGACAATGAAGTCCAAAGATGTTAGCTATATATATTTATTTCCTTACTGAAACAGATAACTAAACTTAAGACAAACATATTCCTTTGATAAAACAAAATTATAAGGCAATTTGAAAGGGTAAATTAAACATGAGATAGACAAATTCCTTGGATACTGAAACTCATAAGGAAAATCATGTTAACAATGAAATACAGTTTTACCTTGTTTGTACAGTATGTCATCACTTTATTTCTCATGGAATCTTTTAATTAAACCAATGGAATATATACTGGTATTTCGTGATACATTATTTTTTTGGGGGTATAAATTTTTTGGGGGGTCGTGTAATTCAAAGATAACCAAAGAGATTGTTCACAAATATAAAGACTGAGCACATTAATGTAGTGTCTTATTTAAATCCTGGGTAGTGGAGAACTGTGTGTTGGTGTAATGACTTTAACTTTATGGTGGGTACCTTATATTGGTCATGATGAGGGTACAGGAATTATCTTACTGTATAAAGTCATCATTTAGTGTTTTTGCTACACAAGTCATAGATGATAATTATGTTCTTCATATCAATTTTTTTCATTATATGAATTTAAACTTGGATTTTTTTTGTGCTTGTAAGATTTGATGAAACTTTTACACCCAATGTTTTAAAAGGAGAAAAGTGATCTAACCAAATTTATTCGACCTAACAGTCATTATATGTTGTTATTAATTTAGATTTATTAAATATGGTTTGACATATTTAGCTTGTTTTAAAATAAGTGCCAGCGATCAGTGCTGCCTTGGTGTACAATGGTCAAAATATTGTCTTACAGTTGTTACAGCAAGGGCTGGAGTTTTCAGGTCTGTATCTGTGTGACATGAGACATTTTCGACTGGCCTCTCTACCACCAGTGTTATAATTTTACATACCATGCCCATCACAGTCTGTCCCTGTTTTTCATTGACTTATCTCTTTTTTTCTTTTGCTGCTGCTGCTTTATTACTGTTCATTCTGGACTTATGATTTTATTTTTGAAAGGCTGAAATTGAAATACTGTATTTTACGGCATATAAAATGCACTTTTTTGTCTGAAAAATGGCTCAAAAAGTCAGCCTGCATCCTATATGTGAAGTTGAGGTCTCCCGTAAGCTAATGAATCCCCCAGTTGCTGTCTCCAGTAGGCTAAATTCTACCTGACCCAACTCCAGAATTAAAAATATGTTAATGCTTACTTAAACACATTATATTATTTTTAATTAAAAAATAATAATTAGAAATATAAAAGCTCAATTTCTAACTACTGTACTGATGATGATAACCTGAAATGATTAACATCCATACGGCAGACACCCAACTCCAGAGGTAGCTAAGCAGTAACCATTTCTGAATTCTTACAGCATTACAATCTATTAATGCCGTACTTGCGATATTAATTTCAATTACAAATGAAGATTTACAGATAACTTTCTCTTCACATTTGCATCTGTTAACATTGCTGGTGGCATTGTAGCCAGGTTAGACTTGTCACTGTAACCACCAGCATACTGAGCCAAGCTGTGAGGTGTTATGGTTATTTTTCAACTTGTATTTTCGGGTAGATATGTGTAACTGTCTCCATTTAGTTTTACTCAATTAACATGCGTATTGTGAAAAGTTAAGGAAATAGTTGTCCTGAGGGCAAACACATAGAGGGTATATAAATTTCTTTACACACAAGTTAGTTGGTTGGCTCAGTGGGGGAGGGAGCATTGCTTGGGAATCGGCAGAGGTAGCGTCCTTGCTGATCTCTGTTGCTATGGTGAAGCAGGTAGTATATGCAAATGGAGACTGTGGTACTGGTGGTGATTAGCCTTCTGTCATCTGGTGGTGGTGATGTAGCCTCCAGGCATTTGGTGTTGGTGTGATGTATCCTTCTGTCATCTGGTGTTGGTGGTGATGTAGCCTTCTGTCATCTGGTGTTGGTGGTGATGTAGCCTTCTGTCATCTGGTGTTGGTGGTGATAAAGCCTCCAGGCATCTGGTGTTGGTGATAAAGCCTCTGTCATCTGGTGTTGGTGGTGATGTGTAGCCTTCTGTGAACTGGTGTTGGTGGTGATAAAGCCTCCAGGCATCTGGTGTTGGTGGTGATAAAGCCTCTGTCATCTGGTGTTGGTGGTGATGTAGCCTTCTGTGAACTGGTGTTGGTGGTAATGTAGCCTCTGTCATCTGGTGTTGGTGGTGATGTAGCCTCTGTCATCTGGTGTTGGTGGTGATGTAGCCTCTGTCATCTGGTGGTGGTGGTGATGTAGCCTCTGTCATCTGGTGGTGGTGGTGATGTAGCCTCTCATCTGGTGGTGGTGGTGATGTAGCCTCTGTCATCAGTCTGTCCCTTGTTCTTCACTTCTGTAAGGTTAGATGATATAAATAGTTATATAGATTTAATGATAAATACCGGTATCTACAATTTATTTTCCAGATGAAGAAAGTCAAGAGTTAGTCCAAGGTATTTCAGTGAGTTTACAGTTGAGATGGGTTCATTCCCACATTGTAGTAAAACTCCCCAAAGTCGGACTCAGTCTGAATTACTGGTGCACATGCCGAGTTGTAATTGGCCGGGTGGCACAACACCAGTCTCTCACCAGCTGCTAGATAATGTGATGGCATCCAGCCAGTGCTGGATTTAGGCACAAGGTAAGTAAGCTACAGCTTAGGGCCTCACATTATGAGGGCCCTCTAAATATGTTTGAGATACAGTAAGTAAAAAGATTTGTTATGAACCAAATTGCCCTGGCTTAAATAACTTACTTCATTTGCAGGTCAGAAAATTCTGTCTGATATTGTTTATAATTTTAAAGTATCATTTGGAAACCATATTAATTAGTTTTTCAATTCACCTATTCAGTGACTCATGTTAGCTGTGTGGCAGTTGATTGCTGCCTAGATGCAGTCTGGGTTGTAGGCTTAACTTACATTGTTTTTCAAGTTGGGATGCTAATGTATTATTGCTTGAGGCTGTACTGCATATGTTCTTTTGAAACAATATAAATGGGATGGATATACAGTATCTCCCTTTAAACCAAATAGAATATGGATTTCTCCCTATTTTTTCTCTGGTTTCACTTAACTTTTCCACCCAGCTTGATTGCAGTTGTCCACTATCACAAAGTTTAAAGTTTATTTCCCCAATCGTAGTAGGAAGTGTTTGCAAGCTGTATGCTGTCTTAAATTTCAAGAAATGTGATTCTTATCATAATATTCTAACATGTAATGTATTTCGGCCTTATCCACCCTGAATTATATATATTCTCAAGACTGAAAGCTGAAACTTATATTTATCTACCACCTAAGTCCCTTATTTATGTTATTTCATGTACTGTACAACATGGTATTGCCTCGTCTTTTATTTAAGGAACATAATTGTTCGTGAATAAATAAATATATTCATGTATAAGCAGACAATCATGTATATTTATGCAAGGGCTGCTAAGAACAGAAATGTATATGACTTATTACAGGAGTCTACGCTAAAGACAAACTCGTTCTCTAGACAACAACACGTTTTCTATGATGACCTTAAATATTTATGGTAAAATTAAATCAAGAGATGGCGCAGCAGTCGGGGCTGAACGTTAATTGAATGTAGTACAAGTTTCTCTATATATTCCTTCCTTGGTATAACACACCATTGTGACGTCACTAATAAGCCATTTGCCTGCGTGAGCCGTGAGGGAAGGTCGTGTAGTGACTGGCTGTTATGGAGTGATTAATTTTTTAGTATTTTTATATTAAGTTATTTAAACATAATATCGCTACTGTCCTCTGTGGTGAGTAAATTGTGGGTATTTTTATTTTTATAATTAAGTTACATGTGATGGTAGAGAGTTGGTTAACCACCGCCATGGTAGTTTGTCAACCCAACAAGTAGTTACAGAGAGTTTTATTCCGTCATCAAATGGAAATTTTGGTGAAGATCTTTTATGAAAAGTTAATTGCAAAGATAAACTCCTCCATTTTCTATATTATGCTGCCTTGGTAATAGTGTAGTTTATATTGGTGTTTGTGGTAAGAAATAATTCATTTCCGTCGATGATTTGGTGAATTGACAAAAATTAATAGGGTTAATATTCGTTTTTACCCCAATAGGTATTTCAGATTTTGGTTAATATACTGTATAGGACTAACTCGCCAGGGCTGCATAGAAACGATGCGGCCGTCTCATCCCACGTCCAGAAAATGCCTCAAATTTCACCATATCATAGTAAGTTCTTTCTGTTTAATATACCGGGGAAGTTAGGTAAGGTTTGGTTGGTTTGGTTGGTTAGGTCTGTTCTTCATAACCACAAATGATAAGTAGCGTTTATTAAAAAAGAAAAACATTTCCACAAACTACATCAGTGTCCACTATAATATAACAATGAAAATCCGGCGTTTTTATAATTGTTTTAAATCAATTAAGCACACGGGTTAGTCCTATAGAATTACCCAGATTTTTTACCATTATTAATAGGATTATTTGTTGGTAAAGGTGTAGACATGGGTGACCACCAGAAGGAATTGTCCGAATTGGTTGAAATTTTTTCTACATACTAACATGATATTAAACACAAAAATGGAAACGACAATGCATGGAAACCTAATAGAACCTGACCTAACATACCCAACCTTTGGGTTTGTTTGGCCAGGTTCTATTACATAAGACATAAGAATGGTGGAAACTGCAGCGGGCCTATTGGACCATACTGGGCAGTCCTGTTTACACCCAACCCCTATTGCTCATATACCCATCCAACCTATGTTTGAAGCTATCCAGTGTATTCGAGTTAATGTTGATATTTGGTAACTTGTTCCATTCATCCACTACTGTTTCCAAACCAGTGTTTACCTATTTCAAGCCGAAATCTAAATTTGTCTAATTTAAAGCCATTGTTACGAGTTCACTCCTGGTTGGATAGTTTGAGTACCTTTGTAATGTCCCCCTTGTTTAGCCCTGCCTTCCATTTATACACCTCTATAATGTCGCCCCTCACTCTACGTCTCTCGAGGGAGTGCAAATTAAGATGCTTTAACCTGTCTCTACTCAAGGTTCATAATGCCTGGGATTAGTCTTGTCATTCTCCTCTGGATTCTTTCCAAGGATTCTTTATCCATTCTGTAATACGGTGACCAGAACTGAACTGCGTAATCCAGGTGTGGTCTCACAAGCGCTAGATATAATTTTAAGATGACCTCGCTAGTCTTGTAACTAACACTCCTTTGTATGAACCCAAGTACTTTATTAGCCTTGTTACGAGCAAAAACACATTGTTTACTTGGCTTAAGATTCCTACTTATCATTACTCCTAAATCTCTCTCGCAGTCGGATTCCACAATGGCATCGTTGTTCATCTGGTAACTGGTTTCCCTGTTTACATCTCCTATACTAAGTAT